GAGGATGCGTCCTTGTTCTTGTACACAACACATCAAAAACTGGGAAGAAGAATCAGCCTGGTGACCGGCTTGGACTATTCTCTTTATTATCGTGCCCTCAACAATACTTTGAATTGTGATGCATCTCATAATGTAAAAAATGCTATGACTTTGATTCAAAGAATGATCTATTGCCTACTCTCTAATCCTGATGGTTCCAAACGTCTGCACAAAGGTGGCAGAGTTTGGAAAGGTGACACACAGAGACCTGTTCCTTTAAACATGCAAAAGCTTCGGGAAGCTTCTCGCTTGGAACGCATCGTTCGCTTTCGACAATTCCAATCCACCACCAATGATCGCCAGCTGGCAGAGAAGTATCGAAAACGTGAAGATGGCCGAGGCTATTTGTGGACCATAGATATACCTCCAAACTTTTGGGGGGCTAGGGACATACATGACATCTCATGGAAAGATAAGGAGAGTGAGACCTTGTTCCCTCCCTATTCTGCCTTCCGGGTGCAGAGTATGGATGACAGCCAATGTCATTTGCTGGCAGTTGAAGCATGGTTGCACTCGGCTTTGCACTCTGTTGCATTATGTCTTTCAGATTGTTACATAAGATGTTGTATGGAGCCACTTTGAGCTTCCTGTGTATCCAACTGTTCTTTTTGTTTCCAAAGGTGTAACAAGCCCAAAGCTTTCAAAGCTTTCAAAGCTTTCGAAGCTTTCGAAGCTTTCAGGACCGCGGCTCTGAGCTCACCGATCGGGCGGAACGTCATGGACTTCGAGGTTCAGCGGTGGAGATGCTCCTCAAATACTGACGCGGCCCTTCCATGTACGATTGGAAGCGCAGCCAGGCCTTAGGCCTTGGATGTGAAGCCATGTGAATCCATGTGAATCCATGTGTGAAACCTGAATAAATTCGCACACCTCAAAGAGGTGAAGCTCAGAATGCTCAGAATCGGAAAAGGCCGATGCACTGCTCTTTGATGTCAATGTTTTCTCCAGATATATATATATATCTGTTTTGTTGCAATGCTGATGGCCAAGGTACTGACTTCAATATGATGATGGATGCCTATCACATGCACTTGACGAAGGCCAAATCCAGGCGGACGCGGAACATACTGTGGATATGAAAAGAATTTGTCAAGCATGCGTGATGGAAAAAGACAAAAGACGACCTCTTTCCGACATGTGTTGCTTTGCTGTTATTGCAGATATATATTGGAAGTCTTTGAACACGACAAATTTCGACCAGGAACAGCATCCCTTTGGCTGCAGTGCTGCAGGGAGCTGGTCCTCACTTATGTCCAGGAGGCGAGAGTCGACGTGTCGATGGTGCTGCCTGTAGTTTCTGTAGCTACTCTAGTTACTGTAGCACCATTTTGGTCGTTTGATCCTTTGGTTCTTGAGAATTTAGTGAACATTTTGAGGAGAACCTTTGATGAGAATTCTGGTGGGCACAAATGGCAAACAAATGGTGAACAAATGGCAAACACGTCGCAGAACGGCCAGCAGATCCATAGATGCCATAGATGCCATAGATCGATCCCTGAGGCAACCATCACCCAGTTGCTCCCGAGGGAGCAACACCTTTCCAAATGGCCTCAGTGGCTTCCAATTCAATTTTCGTGGTCCGTTTGAAGGCGCCCGAAGTCGTCGCCTTTTTAGTCGCCATTTTAGTCGTCGTAAGTGGGTTTGTCTGAAAATAGTGTACCCCTACACCCAATGGTTAATGATCATTATCCCTACTAAATGGCTATAATTGGGGGTATACCCCATTTTCAGACATACCCAAGTCGTGATTCTGGGCAGTGGTTTGAACAGTGATACCTGTTCGATAGTGTAAAATAGATGTAGTGGACATGCTCACCTGCAATGATTTTGAGCACTTGCCAACTGCTGAAGAAATGGACTAAGCAAGATACTTCAGAGAGTTGCAAATCCCAACGAGTGTCATTTTTATTGTATTTCACCAAACAGATTTACCTGTGTGGGGTTCTTACTTTGAGACAGTTGCATGCCTGAGCCGCATGACCAGCAGCTGGTGTCTCTGTGCTTGCATTCCTGGTGCTTGTTTTTCAGTGCCCTGTACGCTGTGGCTCCCACTTGTCCGACTTGTCTCCCAGTTTGCTGTGGGTGTCTTGGGCCGCATTCCCAACAAGTTCCTTTGAACATCGGCCACCTCTCTCCCGTCTCTGTGCTGTGCCTTGGTTTCGTGCCTTCTGCGGTTGCTCTTTCTGTGAATTCCTTGCACCTAAGGTCTCATAGCAAGAAGTTGACGCTTGATATTTCCTTTTCTGTTGGGGTCAATGCTGGTACAATACATGTAAATAGTACATATATATATATATCATATATGTAGATACAATACATGTGTATAATATATATATACATATTATGTGTATATACATAAAAACATGAGATATGTGCATGCACATTATCATCCCCATTGTGACCATCGCATTCCAAGAGTTTTCCGCAGGAACTTTGCATTCCAACTGTGGTGGCCATCACGGGCAATGCCATCGGAGGAGGCGTTGCAGTGTCCCTTGGTTGCCAAGGCAGAAGCGAATGAAGCCTAGGGATGATATACACATGTTTGTTTACTATATGTATATATAGACAGTATACATATATATTATATAATATATTATATGTATATAAATATAATATATATTGTAAATATCATATATATATATTATATTTATTATGTATATATACATATATATATATTTATATTATGTATATATGTATATATTATGTGTATATATATATACAGCATATGCATATGTATTGTGTGTGTGTGTGTAAATGTTTATAGAGATACCCAAAACTGTATTTCCACACATTCCAACATATCTCAGTTCTTTAAGAAAACATGTTCTGTATCAATATCCCAATCGCATTGACATTGTCGTCTTGAGACTCTCAGAAGTTGACGCTGTGAGGTCTCTCAATGCGACAGAACGGGTCATTGCGCAGAACGGCTCTGCAGCCTTTGGCAATCTTAGCAGAGGCGCCGGAGCACGACCTGACAGTTTTTGAGCTCACACTCGTTGGGAGACTCAGGGACTTTTTTTTCGAAAGCCAGGTGCATGTCCCATCATGATGCTTTCAAAGCATCTTCCGGAGCATGTTGGCCTCACCGCAGCGAAGAGCCCTCAGCACCTCATGCGGTTTCATGCGGCTTCATGCGTCATGCGACTTCCGGATTGATCTGATTGGTGACTATGAACATCTTTGAAATGTGTCCTACAATGTACTGTGGCGATTCAATATCCTACGGTTGATATGTTCCACACTTTGAACTCAATCCTGCGGTGAGGATTGATATCTATTTGACTGACTCCACTTTCAGTGCTAACGCAGTTCAAAAGGCGCAATGGGACGTGCAACGAAGTCTGACTTTAGCCTTTGGAAATATCATGTGTGCTTTTGGTCACACTATTGTCTAGCTGACTCTTGACTTGACTTTTGTCTTGTCTTGAAGGCTGGCATGGTCAGCCGTATTTCTGCAGATATCAGGACAAGTTGCGCAAAGCGGTGGTGACACGTGTGGGGTGTAACATGGTGTAACATGGTGTAACATGTGCACAGATCTGTCTCAGGAGCACCAAAGCCACTGCACTCGCGATGGTCACTTGGGATGAAGTGTCTGCGGGGTCTTCGAATTGGAGCTGACCCGGTGCCAAGGCCCGAAAGATGGCCTCGCTTCCCGGTGCTCGACTGGCGGTCATGGTGCAGCCTACCCTCTCTGTCACTCAGCTGCATGTGAGATCCGTGTGTCACTGAGTCGCAGCAACTTCTGAGGTTGAAAGGTACGAAGATGAGGCACCACTGGGCACCACTTGGCACCACTTCATTTCAACTTCTTTCCACTTCAATTCGTTCGACTTGGTTCCAGTTGCCCAAACCTCCTGGAGAAAGATTCAAAGCTTTTCTTTTTTGAACATCCGGCAGAGCCAACTTGGCATTGGCTTGTGATGCAGGCTTATGGTATCTACACATGTGGCCGTACGGGTCAGATGCACTTCCCAGGCAGGTTCTCCTCACTGCATCTGATTTTGCAAAGCCTCATTTGTGTAGAAGATTCCAAGCGCAGCTTACACTGCTGGCATAATGTTTGCACCTTTGCAACTTTTGCAACACCTGCAACGCAAAGCATATGGCGATTCCATCAGGTCAGTCCAAGACTTGAAGGTAGAGGCGCCGTATCTTATCGCATTCTTATTGCCTGTTGCCTTTTGGTGTCACTTTTCTTTCAAAAGCTTTCCAGCACCAAGCTGTATCAAGCCAGATATGGTCTCTTTTTCGTACATTTCGATAGGCCTGCAAATTCTCTGTCAACATTTGTGTGACCCTCAGCGTCTCGAGATGCCAAAGTTGTGTGGTCTTGAGACTTCGACAGGGCGACCGACTTCCGAGGTACAGAATGTGCGGCCACAAAGTGCTGCAGGAATGGGAAATCGGCACAGCTTTGGCTTGGACCGGCGTGGACTTCTAACTCCGATGGAAAGCCAAACTGGTACCTTGACCATGATGGTGGTTGACCCAAAAAACATATAAAAATCTGTGAAATCCTCGTCTGATCATGATCTGAGTGTCGGCTTTCTCATTTTACGACTCGCACTTCGCCTTCAATCTTCCAACTGAAGCGCCAAAAAACCGCCAACAGTTTTGGAGTTTTGCTGCACAGTGAAGATCAGTGAGCGCTGCTTCTTGAACTAGTTGAACTTGTAGCATTTGTAGCATACGATGGCCTACAACCGACATCCTGAAGCTGCCATGTCAGGTCATTCAAATTACCGACATTGGACGGAGGATTGCTGAATGCATTAGCCAGTGGTTGAGAATAAAGCAATGTTTAATTTTTGTTCTATAGCATTGACGGTCATTCAACGATAGATCCAAATGAAGCGAACCAGATAGCTTCAGGCGCATTTCCAGGGTCCTGGATCAAAGGTTCTAAGCCAATACAAACTACATTAATGTTCTCTGGGCAAAGCCTCTCATGGGATGGAGCATGTGGAGGTTCAGGCCAAAGTGAGCGATTTGGTTTCCCTTCTGTCAGACTCCAGACAGCAAGACACCAATCATCGCCAGCGTTCTCGAAGCCGGGAACCGCTGAGACGACGAGAAAGGCCTGTCTTTGGTGCGCCGGCGCCTGAGGAGCACCGTGAATTTCAGGAGTCTCGCGGGCGTGACCGACGTGACAAACGCGACATCATGCGACGCGATTCAAGTCACATGTCTGACCGACGTCGAGATACCCGTGACCGAGACCGAAGATATGCCGACCGTGCTGACCGAGACAAGGAGAGCCGGAGAGAACGGCGCGATGCCCGCGATGCCCGCGATGGGCGCAACGGCTGGGATCGTGACCGCCGTGATGGCCGTGATGGTCGCGATGCCCGCGATGCCCGCGATGGGCGCGACGGCTGGGATCGAGACCGTCGTGACGGCCGCGACGGCCGTGATGGCCGCGACGGCCGTGATGGCCGGGAGGATCGAGATCGGTATCGTCACGATCGGAGTCGTCCTCCACTGGAAAGGCGCCCCAGTCACCGTGACAGAAGCCGCTCAGGCTATGAGAGAACTCGGCAAAGTGGACACGCTCCCAATCAAACTCCTCACAGTGAAGAACTGCGTGACTGGGACAGGCCTGTACTCCGTTGCATCCTGAAGTGTGATCTTTTCTGCTAGCTTGTGCGGTACAATAGCAACATCCCGTATGAATTATTGAAAAACTAATTACTAGATTCTCAGTATTCTCAGGGGCATGCATGATTTCATCCTGGGTCTGACCTTTGAAGATTTCTTGTGGACAGGCCCGGAAGAGAAGCCCAAGAAGCCCGTTCAGAACGTGTTTCTGCCCTGCTTTCTGAACGCAGCGATTCAGTGATTTGCAGAGCCAGAGTTCACCGGATCCAGGCCGAAGCCGCAGCCCAGCAGCTTCTGCGGAGCCACAAAGTGTGCCAAGTGTTGAGCTCAGCTCGGCATGTCACACGATGTCAGCTATTTCTCGAGTCTCAAACCCGATGAATTGTGTTCAGGTCATGAGGAGACCTTTCGGGAGGCCTTTGAGTCTCAGGAGTCCTCCTCATTTGATGTTTTTGATGACAATTTTGATTTCTGATGAGACTTGATGCCTCACATTTTTGTGCCAGGAAGTAAGAGGACGGGAAGGCCAAGGCCAGGGTCCTAGTGAGGGCGTTCAGATTTCCGAAGCTGTCGCAACGGCCTCTTTTCCTCGAATTTGAGCTGCAAGGTGTGCCCAAGCTACCAAAGCCTCGCTTGCCAAGACCATCTGTTGGACCTGCAGCTTCTGTCTACATCTCAGAAGGCAATGTGGCCCAAAGATGCTTGAGGTCCATATTTTGCTGATTTTTTCTTTTGAACCCAGGATCCCTCTACTTTTTTTCTCCATGAGGCTTCCGGCAACCAGCCTAACCAGCCCAGCTCGGCTCTAGGCAGAGCCGGAAAGGGCGATGATTTCGTTCTGCAGGGATGTGCAGACAAGAAATCGACACACAAAGCCATCAGTTCAGTTTTTCTGTTGTCTTCAGCTGTTGTTGAATGGACTTGGAAGATCTTGGAAGTAGAGTGACAAGTGGTCTTGAATCAAGTTTCAAAAAGTTTTAAATATCTTCAGACTGTGCAGAGTTTGTGCATGTCTCTGGACTCTTGGACCATGTCGTGCATCGTCGCAGGTGCAGTGCCGAAGGGCGCCGTCACTTGCCACGAAGAACTGCCCCGTGATTTCTGGCCGAAATTGATCCATTCGATCTATTCGATCCATGCCTGAAACATTCAGCATTTCAAGGCCAAGCCGCTGGCCAAGCCACTCACAGCCTTTGGAGGTGGAAAGTGACTGAAGTAAAACGAAAACAACGACATTGGAGCAACGGGCGTCGAATCTGTGGATGGCGACATGGCCAGGGCCACCTTCTCCGCCTCCCCTGCCACGGCCCAAGCCGGTGGCACCATCGGCCGCTCCTCCAGTTCCACCAGCTGCTGAGGCTCCGGAGGAGCAGCTTTTTAGATTTTCGGCGCAAGCTGACCACATGCCATATGACAGACATATATATATATATAATAATATAATATATATAATAATACAATATAATATGATATAATATAATATAATATGATATAATATAATATGATATGATATAATATAATATACTATGATATAATATAATATAATATGATCAAATATAATATAATATGATACAATATAATATGATATAATATAATATGATATAATATAATATAATATAATATGATAAAATATAATATAATATAATATAATATGATATAATATAATATAATATGATATAATATAATATAATATGATATAATATAATATAATATGATATAATATAATATAATATGATATAATATGATATAATATAATATAATATGATATGATATAATATTATATAATATAATATGATATAATATGATATAATATAATATGATATAATATAATATAATATGATATAATATGATATAATATAATATAATATTATATGATATAATATAATATGATATAATATAATATGATATAATATAATATGATATAGTATAATATAATATGATATAATATAATATAATATGATATAATATAATATGATATAATATAATATAATATGATATAATATAATATGATATAATATAATATAATATGATATAATATAATATAATATGATATAATATAATATAATATGATATAATATAATATAATATGATATAATATAATATTATATAAAATATTTTGATATAATATGATATAATATAATATAATATGATATAATATAATATGATATAATATAATATAATATGATATAATATAATATAATATGATATAATATAATATGATATAATATAATATAATATGATATAATATAATATAATATGATATAATATAATATGATATAATAAGATATAGTATAATATGATATAATATGATATAACATAATATAATATAATATGATATAATATAATATAATATGATATAATATAATATAATATGATATGATATAATATAATATGATATGATATAATATAATATGATATGATATAGTATAATATAATATGATATAATATAATATAATATGATATAATATAATATAATATGATATGATATAATATAATATAATATGATATAATATAATATAATATAATATGATAAAATAAAATATAATATAATATAATATGATATAATATAATATAATATAATATGATATAATATAATATAATATGATATCATATAATATAATATGATATAATATAATATAATATGATATAATATGATATAATATGATATAATATAATATAATATGATATAATATAATATTATATAATATAATATGATATAATATGATATAATATAATATAATATGATATAATATAATATAATATGATATAATATGATATAATATAATATAATATGATATGATATGATATAATATAATATAATATAATAATATATATATATGGATACATATGGGCCCTGCCATGCCGACCAAAATCTGTTGCCGTTTCGCAGCCAAATTTCAGTTCACTGCCGTTTCGCTTGGTTGGGAAGCAATGGCAGCTTCATCTTCAGACCCGAAGCCGACGTATCCGAACTATCCAGAGGCGTGATGCCCAGGGAGGCATGTCATGTCGCATGGCATGTCACATTTTGGTTGAACATCTGTTGCATGGAACATTTTGGTATATCAATTGGAATTTTGGTATATCAATGGCGCATCTGTGGGGCGTGCCTTGTGCAGATGGTGGACTGCATCATGTGCAGAAAGAAAGAAGTAGCGAAGCGACGACCTGGCTATCGCATGACGTGCGCAGACTGCACAGATTGCCAGGCCTTCCCTTTTTCAAGCCATGGTCCAAGGGACATCCTGTGGGTATCCTGTGGAGAACCTTTGACATCCTGACATTTGAGCCCTGCAACCCTACAATGACGCATTTCATCTCATATTTGTGTGATGACCTGATGGAGTGTTTGTCTTTGCTAATCTTGGATGCAAAATTTTTCACACTATATATTGTGGAACCTATTGCTGTTGAAGTGGTCATTAGGAAGATCTAATGACATCTCAAATGACAAGAACGACTTGCACGACTTCTGTCAGGCCCGCTTCTGTGTGAAATGTCATGGAGCGTGGTTCGAAGATCACAGCTGCCTGGTCTTCAAGCGCAGGGAGGAACTTTTCAAAGACTTGGAATGGTTTTACCGCAAGCTGCTGGCTCAGATCATTCGGAAATTGTGATGCGACACGGGCTGTTTTTTGATGTTTGTTACCCTCTGGTAATGACTAACATAGCTATGGAAAATGGCTATTTATAGTGGAATTTCCCATTCAAAATGGTGATTTTCCATAGTTATGTTAGTTTACCAGAGGGTAATGTGTGTTGCAGACGAACGCTTTTCGTGCTAAGGGCTGAGCAGATTGATGACTTCCGCGAGAACCTTGAACCGCCCCTTGGCAGATTGTGGTGACACTTTGGTGGATCTCAACAGCTACAGAGCATTGACCAAGTGTTGGAACGGTGTTGGGGGCTTATCTTTTACACCCTCAAGTACTAAAGGTCTGGAACGTCTGGAACGGGACCTGGGGACCAGCAAAGGGTCCATGGTAGAGCGAGGCACTCTAGACCCCACCTGTCTCATTTAGACCCTTTGACTTTCTATGCATATCATTGTACTTATGGATATCATACATTCGATTGGATTTGTATGTAGTTGCTGATTATGTAGATTTTATTTGTATATTTGTTAGTGGCAGTGGCAATGACTGTTGTGAGTTCATTTAGCAAAACACATATCAATCATAAAGTTTCAGATAGTTTCAGAGACCCTGTTGGGCCATATGGCCCCTAAGAATTGGGAAGGTATAGCGGTATCAAAATGGAAGCGCAAATTGCTCCCCAAAATTTGATACATAAAATCTAAAAGGCCCCTCCGCTCACATAAAGTTTCAGAGACACTCACCGCAAGTTGAAAAGATATCAGGGGGAGGCTCTGAACAAGAAAACCAAATTAGATCCCTGCAGCTTGGGAACCTCCTATGGAACACTTCAGATTTGATACTTACTCAGCCAATGCATAGTGACATAGTGCTCCCAAAATGGAAGCGCATAGTGGTACCAAAATGGAAGCGCATAGAGGTATGAAGATGGAAGCGCATAGTGGTACCAAAATGAAAGCGCATAGTTGAAGATTAAATATGTTCTTTGCAAAATCTTGTAAAAAGTCAAGAGTATTCAAATTTTAGCCCCACAAAAAAAGACAATTTTTGGTAGGGCCCAACGTTGAAGATTCCAAACTTGCTCATTTGTACTCATACGTTGTATCTTGATAGTTCCAAATATGTCCAACGAGAACTCCATTCCAGACCAGGCAGCTCCGGGCCCGGTAAAGGTCTGGAGGGGTGGGAGGGGTACATGTTATTTTGCTAAAGGGTTCAGGCTCCATGATGCTAGAACAAAGGTTTGGGGTCTAAAATGAAGCCTCAAGGTCCCTAGGTAGTAGTTGAGGGTATTTTTCCTCATACTGCTCAGACTTAGATTCTTTAATCATCTTAGATCACTTGATTATTTGACATTTCCCGACATTTTTTGACATTTTTCTTGACGTGCACTCAGGCACGGCTACAAAATGTGTCCAGGATGTTATCAACCTGTGATCAAGGACACCGCGGCTACAGCAAGTATTTTTAGTTCGAGTCTCTTTTTGTGCTGATGTATCCTCATTGTAGGACAATGAGGATGACTGCGATCACATTTTCTGCAGCAACTTGGTCGTGTCAATGCAGACAATGAAAAGACAATGTCTCTGTGGTTGCAGCTCATGTGTATTGTGTTTTTTCACTTTTATTCATTCTTCCGTATTATTCCTATAGTTTTGTTTTTCAGTTGCACAGGTAATCCTGAATGCCGAATGGAGTTTTGCTGGAAATGCATGGTGAATCGCAAAGTGGTCGAAGTGCATGGCAACCACCATCACAAGCTGCTTGGCACGAAGGAGGCCGAAGGAGGCCAAAGGAGGCCGATGGCGCTGCCTCTGACACCGGCAAAATGTCCTTGTTTTTCCAAGGCCAAAATGTCCGTACTACTTTGAGTTCAAGGGCAAGGACACCTACATGCCGGATAGATGCCCCTTGGATAGCACTTTTCGGCAGTGATTTCGGTGACTTAAATCATTTTCTAACATTTTGTGTAACTTATTTGTAGCATTTGTAACATTTGCGTGCCCTGAGTGCCCGGTGATCTGAGGTGACGTTTGCCGCAAGTGCCTTCCTCAGGAGCTAAGGAGCTGACATTAGAAGGGGAGTCGGAGACCGGACCTGTGACGACTGTGACGTGCAGGATCCGAATCTTCTAAATAAACATCTACTGTACTGGGTCTTCAAGTATCTTCAAGTATTTTTCAAGTCTTCAGGTTCTCACGGAAAACATGGCTGCTAACACCTGCCAAGTGTTGCAAGTCGCTGTAAGGACAGAGCGTTGTTGCATAACACCCTTGGCCTACAAGAAGATGTCGAAAGCACAAAGAGAAGGCTATCCGGAAGAAGGGTGGACTGCATACGCTGTCCGCAAAGAAAAGGAGATGGAGGAACTTCACACGTTGGTCACCGTTGGTCACGTCGATGGTTTGTTGTCACGTTTTCTGATTTCTTCTGATTTCTGATTTCCCCAATTTGTTTGACACAAATTGCTGAACCTTTTCCATTTTTTGAAGGAGAAAAAGCAGAAAAAGCAGCAGCAGCGTCGAGAAGAGCGGGAACGTAGAAGAGGAGAAGCTGAGGAGCCGGAGCTCGTCATGAGGTCTGTTTTTTTTGCTTCAATTCCGTCGGAAGTTAAATGAACAACATGAACTACGTGAACCAAGATGTGCTAAAATGAAGTAAGATGATGAACTAAGAAGTTGAAATGAAGTAAGTACTAAGATGCACTATGTACATATGGTTCTCGACCGTGTTCCGGTGGAACCTGTCCATTTCAGGAGGGTGGCGTCGCAGCCCTGATGAAGTTCTTTGGAGTCAGCTGAATTTCTGGCCATTTCGGGGCTGTACAGCATTCCGAATCGCTTTCTGGGTCTGTTTCGGAGCCCCGAATCGCATTTCTGGCTCAGCCGGCTCCGATTTTTTTGAGCCTTTGGAAAAACAGGTGCTCACACTTTTTTTTGACCCAGCTTTTGCATTTGCTGGCAAAGGGAAATGCGAAAAAATACAGATTCACATGATTTTACAACAAGCAAGAAGTGACACGAGGAGATTTTAAATGCTCAGCAAGTGCCAGAATTCACTTATGCAGAAAGCGCAGAAAGCAGCTGCGACATTTGCGTCTAGAGCTGACCGCCGAATGCAAGGGAGACCTGTGGAAAAAGGCTGAGTTGTGCATTTCTTGGGACACCAGTGGGACAGCGACTCGATGGCACTTTTTTATTTCGTCGCCAGTGAATGTAGTGACAGTGGTGCCAAGTGCCAATGGAAATTGCCGAAGGAGCAACGTATTCCAGGGGAAGTGGAGCAAAACTTTCAAGACGGCAATTATCGAGGCCGGCGGATGTGAACACACGACTGGTGAACATGTCAACTAGGATGAACTCGGCTTCACCAGTCGTTTGGTGAGCTTGAAAGATAGCTTGAACAAGTTCAAGTCTATTTCAAGTCTCAGCTCATTGACATTGTACCGTCTTGTAGCTCTCTTTTTTGCTTCGCAGACATTCTGTGACAATGTAAGCTACAGAAAGCTGAACTTTCAGTGAAGGGAAGTAGGGCAAAATGGGCAGAACCATTCCCATACCATTGCCCACAAGGATGGTGATGAGTCTTCCATACCTGGATGATATGTTTATTCTGGTGCAATTTTCAGTTCCTGGACAAGGTATTTTTTTGCGACATGAAACACACTGGAAAAAGGTGCAAATATCCATCATGGCATAGTCATATTGGTCATATCGTCAAATATATTCAAGTTCAAATCTTGGTTTTCCCATTAAAACCTCCATTTATAAGGGATTTTCCATGGCTATGTTAAATAATTTTCAAGTTCAAATCTTGCAACATCAACTCGTGTCAGTTCCCTTAGTCCCCAGCAGATATCACGTTTGTCCGATCTCACTGATCCCACTGCGCGCCAGCACTGCATCGGCGTCTCGTGTCTGTCTCGGGGCCACGACAATGTGAACGGCTTCTATGGGGTCCTTGGCGGCGAGGTTCTACCCAGGCGGAGAGAACACAACTCGATGAACTCGATGAACTCAGCTAACTCGTTTACCCTCTGGTAAACTAACATAACTAACATAACTATGGAAAATTCACCATTTTCAATGGGTAAATCCACTATAAATGGCCATGTTCAATAGCTATGTTAAATTACCAGAGGGTAACTCGTTGAACTCGTCTCATGTTGACATGACCATGTCAGCTGTCAGCTCAACGCGCAACGCGCAACGCGCTGCCGCGAAGGCTTCGCAGGATTTGACGAAGCTCGAGACTGCGTCGAATGCATCGGAGACCGAGTTGCTGAGTGCTGCATGAGACCCAAAGCGCTGTCAGTGTGCACAAACTTTTTTGCTACACAGCATATCAAAGCTGTAAAAAGGTGCAACAACTGGCTACAATTAGTACATATTAATACAAATACAACTGAAACCAGCCTGAGAGGTCCGAATTGAGATTTGGTGAGGCCAAGGCGCTGCATATGGCTTCTCCCCCTCGGCAGGTGCGGCGTTTGAGGTTTCAAATGATTTTCAACGGGGAGAACCAGAGAACCTGATTCGGTTCAGTTTCGTGTGCAGGACCACAGAGGCATCTATGGTGAGCTCTTGCGCAAATCAGAAGGAGCTGAACAAACTGAATTCACTGAAGTTGCCTTGAGTCTCAAAGTGTTTTGCAAGCTTAATGACAACTCTATGAGCTTGGTCCTCGCTGTGAATTTGATATTCAACGTTTCAGTTTCAGTGTCCAAAACGATGGGCAGGAATGGAGGGCTTTGAAGTCGAGGTCATACTCTCAGCTCGGTCATTGCAGGAAGTGCTTTTGTCAGCCCTGAGTCCAAAAACCCTCAGGCAGAAAGCTTCCAGTCGTCTTCGCGTGCTCAGATGCACTTGGTCTGCATTGGTACCTTGCCCTTCTCCGAGATGTCTTGGATCTGAGTCCTCAGAGGTCGGGATTTGACCTGAGGCGATACAGATGCATTTGTTACCTGCGGGAAGTTGGACGTTTGGAGCTTGGTGTTCTGAAAAGTTTTTCCATGGTTTTCCATGTTTTTCCATGGGTTTTCCATGGGTTTTCCAGGTTTTTCCAGGTTTTTCCGCTCACCCAATGGATAATTTGTGTGTGGCAGCCGTCAGAATCCGTCAGGTGCAAAGGTGATGGAGGTCATGGGATGCTTCCAGGCCATCAGACACCGTTGAGGCCATGGTTTTCCTAACGGCAACATTTTGCCCCGCCACAGGAAAACCGGGAGAAAGCTGAAGCAGATGGGCAGGCCGGGGCCCCGGGCCGGATCGGTGCCGGATCGGGCAGGTTTGCTCTCGCGGGTTCGGGGGTTCGGGTTGCATTCGTGCACCAAGAGCAAGACACAAAAAGACACCAGGAAGATCCAGGAAGAAAATCATATACGAAAGAGTCGAAGAAAAATCCTGATAGTGACTACAGATGACAGTGTTTTTGATTCAGCCATTTGGTACACTAAGAAGCTTGAGGCCATCCTGGAGGCTTTTGCCTCTGGAGGCATGGCAGAAGCAAGACTCTTGCAGCGGCAAATCATGGCAGGCCGAGGAAAAAAACTCACCTGTCGTGTCTCCGACTCCTGCGACTACCTGGCATTTGATTCGCGGATTCATTTGGTGAGGCATGTGGGGTGCTTCCAATTTCGGAGATGCAGAGGATGCCGAGGATGCCGAGGATGCTGAGGCGAGCCACTCTGGTCATCTTCGGTCATCTTTGGTCATCTGTCTGTGGGAGCTTCTTTTCATCTCTTTTCTCGGTTGTGTTTGTATAGTTCATTTAGTTCTATGTGATGGCCAGCAACTTTCTGCTCGAGCCTTGCGGAAGCAACCGAGCCTGTGTTGGTATCCAACGGAGATCGGTTTCCGACAGAATCCTCCACATTGCAACCCCTGTAAGCAAATATGACCCGTGGAAAGCTGATCAAACACCGTGGAACACTCAGAAGTGAACCTCTGTCACGCCACAAACGCCCGAGCGTTGGTGATGATCACGGGGTAGCAATGCTCCCATGTCACCATGCAGTGGAGCCAGGGACACAGGATGCAGAAACTCAGGTGACTGAGGATTCACTTTTCTCCATTCATCTCTATTCATCTCTATTCATCTCTATTAATCTCTCATCTCCATTCTCAAACATTTGAAGCACGGGAAGCACGAAGACTTCAGCACTGCTCAGCTTCAGTGCGCTTTGAGCATCGACTTGGATCTTACAGGATCTTACAGGATCTTGCCGCAGCCGTCAGCTTCAAGGGTCTTTCGTTTCAATGAAGGCCTTCCTTTTCGCCGTCTTTGGCACCTTAGCCAATGCCGCACCTGCAGATGAGGAGGTTCCGGCCTTGGTCGAGATGATGTCCAAATATGTCCAATTCCCGACACAATTCATATCAAATCCAGGATGTTTTTTCTGGCAATTTTGATGAATTCGATGGTGACAAGTTGGTGAATTCACGGGTTTTTCACCGTTTTTTAGGTGCTGGATCTTCCAGGCTATGGCAAGCCACCAGCTCCGCAGTACAGCGGCTTTCTGGATGCTGGAGCTGCGGAAACCGGGACGAAACTCCACTATTGGTTTGCCATGGCCGATTCGGAAACTGCAAAGGACTTGCCCGTGGTTCTGTGGCTGAGTCTCGGACGACCATTCAGAAAGGACCAAAATGACCATGGCCCAGAAAATCCCAAAACATAGGGAATCAATGAGGATCATTCTCTCCTAGGACAAGTTGGTAAGGCAAACGTAGAGGAAGGGTGTGCCCTTCCTGCCATACTCTGAGCATTCTGAGCTTCCCGAAATTGAAGCCGTATGTGCAGCAGCAAGGCTAAACGAAGACTCGAGCGAGACGGTAAAGTGATTTTGATTATTCTGCAGCTTTTTGAGGACTCCATGAACAAACAAGAGGTTTCTCCAATTTTCTCCAGGTCTTTTTACATGACCAACACGACCACTTGCGATCTGAGGAATGGAGGTCCAGGAAGCAGCTCAATTCTGGGAATGCTTCAGGAGAATGGGCCGCTGCTCATCAACGCGACTGGCGGTTTGATGAGGAATCCTTACAGCTGGACCAAACAAGCCAACATGCTGATTCTGGAAAGACTCTGGGATTTCATTCAACACATTCAACACATTCAATGCTAAGATATTCAGATATCAAATATCTAAATCATCTAAATCTTAGATTTGATGTGGATTTATGTGAATTGAATTGAATTTAGAATGCTTTATAATACTGTAGAACTATTGGATATTGCAGATCTCTGCCACACTCCCTCGAGCCTAAGGCCCAGGTGGTGTCGGCTACTCCTATTGCGCCGCCATGAAGGTGCCAAAATGATTTCCGCTGTAACTCCCATGGCCCACTCGGCCCACTCGGCCCACTCTGATCCTATTGCCATCAGTTGCCATCATGGCTTGGTCACAGTTTTGTCAAGGCAGGTGGGAACTGCAACAACACGGATATCTCGACTGCTGCGGCTGCGCGTGCAGCTTTGCAGAACTTCTTTGTGAAGCTACTTGGTCAAGATTTGATGAGTCGTTGAGTACTGCTGCTGCTGCTGCTGCTGCTGATGCTGCTGCTGCTGCTTCTGCTGCTGCTGCTGCTGCTGCTGCCGCCATTGAGGCGCAACTTTCATGTTGCAAGTACACTCTTATATACATATGGCACAAACCATCACAGACAATGCCAGTAGTGATGTAAGTTGTGCCGGTCAAACGACGCCCCTTATACTTGTCTTTGGTGACTGATGTGACTGATGTGACTGTGAGGTTTCCGGAGTTCAAACAGAACAAGTTCTTCATCACAGGCATGTCATTGACTCCCATGGCCAAGAAGTATGCGCACTGAACAGATTCAGGTTTCAGGACAGGACCTTACGACTTGTCTCTTGAGTGGCAGAGACCAAGTGTGTCTTAGTTGCCAACTTGGCAGGTGAGTCCTACGCCGGAGTGCTTTGGTTTGCAATTCTAGACATGATACAGACATTTGCTGGACGCCGCTTTTCTCATTGCAACATGGCGGCTTTTCTTCACACCAATACCTGTTGATTGACGCGTGCAGGTCTATATTCCAACACTCACCAACGAAATCCTGGAACATGCACCTGAGATCAAAATGCTTCTTGGCACTTGTGTGGAATCTTGTGGAAGTGCATCTTTTTGTCGGATTTTTGATGTGATCTGCCGCTATTCCACTTGCAGATCTTGCCAAGGACTGGTGCCTCGTCAGAAACAGAAGGTGAACAGAAGGTGAACAGAAGGTGTTCAAGAGAAAGCAAGAGAAAGCTCTTGAAGTCTTGGCTCAATGTGTGGGATGTGTGGCTTATTTTGGGGTGACTTTGTCGTACTTGTGTCGTACTTTTTTGGGTGTTTTTTGATCTGAAAAAAGCGACTGAGGAATCGGTGTTGGTGATCCCTGCACTGACTGGCCTTCTCAGCATGAGTCCATGGACATGTGCCTTGCCTGGAAACTGTCGAGTCATCGAGTCATGGAGTCAGTGGCCTTGGAAAGCCACGACTTGAGTCGAGGCTTTGGTATGCACACAAACATGGCTTCGTCCCGGATGCAGACTTTGACTTCCTCTGGAACAATTGCTCCATGAGGCAGTGAATGTGAATGTGAATTTATTTTCCCATTTTACCCCCTTCATGTTTGATCAGTTAGATCAGTTAGATCAGTTAGATCAGGTTGATCTCTGGTCCGTTCTTGGCTTGTCTTGGCCAGGCAGCCCTCATTCCTTGCGCAAGGATTCTGGCGTCGTGAGAACGGCATGTGGATGAGCAGCCTGCAGGGAACAGCAGCACCTCGTTTGGATGCCTAAAGGATCCTAAAGGCGTAAAGAAAATTAAGAAAGTCACTGAAAAACAAAGCGACAGTATTATTGTGATAAAGATTGTGAAACATTTCGGAAACATTTGGAGAAAAAACATGAAAGAACTCTATTCTTCATGGCATTTCATGGCTGGAAGATGTTCGTTGAAAAGTTGTGTGTAGCAGTGTAGCGTGATGTTGCAAGATGTTGCCCTGGAGAAAGGCTCTGGATGGAGCTTGCAAGATGGCTGAGCGGAAGTTCATGGCCACCACTTCCCGTGGTTTGTCCCAGAGTTGGAAGAAGGCCTACATCAACGAGCTCGACGTCTTTTCCGATTCTTCGTCTTTGGATTGGACCGTTCCCAAAAGCCTGGACTTCTACACGGCCCAATGGATGAACCGCGCTGATGTCAAGAAAGCTCTTCATGTGGAGGATGCACCGGTAAAATCTTGGCCGGGTCCAACAGATGGATGGCAGTACACCAGCAACTACAATGCCTGCAACAAGGCGCCTGGGCAGCCCAGCATGATCGACTTCTACCGGAAGATCGCACCCAAGATGACCACCACCATTGTCTTCAACGGTGATACTGATCCGTGCGTCTCCTATGAGGGCACGCGTACAGCCATTGAGAGGGTTGGATTCAAGATTCTGCCCGGAGGTGGCTATGGCTCAAAAGGGTTCACCCTTAGAAGCCTTAGAATTCAATGGTTTGATACATTTTGAATCATTTTGATATGGTTTGGTGATGTTTGGTGAATGTGACGAAATAGGTTGAGTCAAAAAAGCTACACGATTTCTGAGCTTTCAGGTCACTATCGCCCATGGTTCTACAACAAGTCCGCAGCAGCGATGGAAACGTTGATGGAAAAGCCGAACCTCTTCGGTCCCAACTTGGAGTTGCGCCCTGCTGGTGCTCAATTCGGTGGCCATGTGGTGAACTATGCCCACGGTTTGTCATTTGCCACGGTGCATGGGAGTGGACATATGGTTCCCCAGTTCAGACCCCAATCAGCTGAGAGGCTGTTGAATCGACTTCTCAGCGATGGTCTTTTCGCTCCCTTGCTGCCCAGCGATGCAGAACTGGCTCAAATGGACGATGACTCCTTCGACAAGTTCGTGGACAGCTGGACGGACAAAGCTCGAAGTGAAGTATCGACAGGATCGACGTCAGCTGTCACTGAGCTGCTCGTGTGAGAGCGGCGTGAGTGGTGTGAGCCGCAACTATCCGCAACTGATGCTGTGATGTTTGGTCAGCAGCAAGAAAAATCTGAGTATTGCCAGTACTTGGTGGCTCATCCCACTATAGTAAGTGGGTTAAAACCCCAGTTATAAATGGTTATAAATGGGACACGTATTGCCTGCAAATTGCAGCGGGGAAGTTTGAATCGTTGCGGCGCGGCCCGAGCTGAGAAACTGTGATTGTCCAAGGTCTTCAGAATCTCCCATGTTGGCTTGGGCTGTGCAAACGGCCAGAAGTAAAGGCCGGATGGTGAGAAGACATAGATCTAATGACACACACATATGATACGCATTTACAGAATGACAATTGATGATACTTGGATATAATTGGATCATCAAAGCATTTTCAGCATCATTCAGGATCATTTTTTGCATCATCTCTGAAAACTTGACCACCTCCAATTGTGGCCCCAATTTTGGGTCCAATTTTGGCAAGGCAAAGGCCATCGATCGCGATCGCTCAGCTCTCGACATTTTGGATCTGCTCTTGGAGGTGCCATGATGGCTCTGGCTGCCATGGCCATGGCTTCGATCGCGACGCCACGACTGCCACGACTGCCACGACGAACGCCAGGCCATTGTTGAACTCCTGGGCTATGAGGCCGTCCTGGAAGGATTCGACGTGGTGCTGTGCTCAGTGTACTCAGTGCCTTTTTCACGGAGATGTTTGATGTCATTTGTTCTTTGCCATTCTATGGATATTCTATGGGTATTCAAAAAATATGTTGTCCATGCAATGCGCCAAAAAATGACGGAAGGTCTGTCAACGATGGTATTTAGCAGCGGTGAAGTCCTCAGTCAGAAAAATCCCGAGATCTTCACAGTTCCCGAAAGCTCCTGCGCAGTTTTTTTTCTTCCAAAGAACCGCTGCCAAATTCAATTTTTAATTTATCTACACAACATCTCCTACATCTTAAACATCACCTACATCATCTAGATCAACTTCATCTACATCACATGCATCATCTGCATCTACTGCATCTCTTCTACATCCTTTACAACCTTACATCATCTATACCAGAATCACATACATCCTCTACATCACCTATATCAACTTCATCTACATCACATACATCATCAACATCATCTTCATCATCTTCATCAGCATCACAGACATCAACTTCAAAAAGGAGTACATATCTCACACAGGAGTTGTGACACAGGAGTTGTTATAGATGAGTTGTGACACAGAAGTTGGTATTATTTTACAGGAGTTGTTATACAGCAGTTGTTACACAGGAGTTGTTACACAGTTCTTCCAGATTTTTCTCTTTTGGCGGCAGGCGCAGTCAGGCGGTGGGTTAGGAAACGTGTCCCTCTGGGGAGATTGTGCCTGTCGGACGCACAAACGTATGGCGAACTCTTTCGCACGATAAGTGAAGGTCGAATGGCAAACACTGGTGTATAAATTGCGATTTTGAAATCTCAGACGCAACTCTTTCGCAAGAAATGACCGTCAAACGGCAAAACCTGGGGTAAAGTTGCGATTCTGCAGCGTCACAAAGGTCGTCCGTGTAAAGACTTATCTGTCTGTGTAAAAGCTTCTGTGTGTAAAAGCTTTCTGTGTGGAGGCTTCTGTGTATGAAGGCTTCTGTGTGTAAACACGTCTGTGTGTAAAAGCTTCTGTGTGTACATGCGTCTGTGGGAAAAAGCTCCTCTGTGTAAACGCCTCTGTGTGTAATGTAAAAGCCTCTGTGTGTAAAGGCTTCTGTGTGTATCTGTGTTCAAAGCGTCAACAGCCTTATTTATCATTCATCATTCATCTTTCAACATTATTCATCTTCCGTCATCCTCATGTCTTCTTTTCCATCATCTTTTGACCTACTCCTGCTCTTCTTTCGGGCCGCACTGCAGCCTAGTTTTCATCTGCCACCTGGTCTGCTTGGTCTTGGATGAATTTCTTTGGATGGCGACTGAGGCTTGCCATCCGCTGTGCTTCCGGGATCGCTTTGAGACCTGGCAGTGTTCCACTCGGTTTTCGCAGCTTTCTGCCGCCTTTTCTAGGTCTTTCATCAACTTTGAGTGTTTCCTCCGGTGAAAATCAATTTTCCAATTGACTTGGAAACACTGCTTGGGTAAATGCCACAGATCATGCTGACCCTTTTCATGTGTGAAGTAAATCTTAGGCTGGACACACTGATAAGACTTGACGTGGGGCAACCCAAGACGGGACGCGTTGGTTGCTTGCAGGATCAAATGACGCTGGATAATCATGCTTCGTTGATGCGACCAGGATTTGGTTTCCCAAGCATCTGAACCACCGACTGAGAACATGGAGGCCCCTTCTCGATGTGGCAAAAGTTGAGAAACAGCCGCACCAACTGCGCGACTTTACAGCATCCACGGTGATGTGACATTGATGTTCCCAGACCCTGGACTGGCCCTTTGCCATTGCCATGGAGCATGCTGAGGCAAAGCTGTACAATCAGATCAACTTGAAGCCACTTTGCAGTGATTCCAAGTGATTCCGAGCGACTCTTTTTGGGGCTCCAAGTGCTCCAGGTTGAGTTGCGGATTACCGAGTTTCTAGCATCGCCTCCTTCGGTCTTGCTTGTGACCTTGTTGCAGTGCGCCGACTTGTCGCATCTTGTAGCATCTTGTTGCATCTTGTAGCATCTTGTAGCAGTACCCTCTGGTAAACTAACGTAGCTAATGGAAAATCACCATTTTTAATGGGAAAACTCACTATTTCTATGGCCATTTTCAATAGCTTTTTGTATGTTTACCAGGCCGGGTATCTGGGCCCACTGTGGGCAGGTACGGACATCAGTTGACCAGCTTTCTCCAATGGATTCACCTCGCAGAAGACAACGGCCAGACCCATCAGTGCCAGCTCTTGAATGCCGCAGTCAAGGAGTGTTCCAGATTCAATATGATTCAATCACAATGAATTCGAATGATTATAAAATATTATAAAGATTTACAATTCACATCAATCCACTCGAAGATTGCGAAATGCCCGTTGTACTCCCACATCTTCACTCGGCATCTGGATGATCCTTGATTTATCTTGACGGGTTCCTGGCTGGAGGAGCTGGGCCGCAGGGCCTCGCAGTTGGCTGCTGGGGGATAAGAACTCCTGGAACATTTGCCGGACCGCGACCACAGATTCGGGACGTGAGTTTCTTGCGCGGAAATCTGGAATCATTCTGGAAATTCACTGGAATATCTGGAGAGATACCGGAAAGTTCTGTATTTTTGAGACTTTCAGCAGTCCGCAACACGCAAAATGATGCAACTTACGGACTGTCCACCCGCATCTTTGTCTCATACTTCAGGATCCGGGGCTCCCCAGCCGCTGGGGACAATGGTTTGAAACTGCCGGACAAGCAGAGCACTCAGATTGGCTCAGGCCTGATTTTACCTCAGAATGTGCTCAGATTGGCTCCCAGATTTTACCAGATTTGTGCAACAGAAATCCAAATGCCAGTCTTACCAGTCTTCCACCCGTTGGCCCCGTTTCATTGGAGCTAAGGCGCAGGGCATCTCTGAGGGCTACTGCGAACGCTTCGTGCAGCAACGGGGCAAGGCACTCTTTCGGATCCTTCGAACAGTCAGCCGGAATTGGATGGAATTTGGATGGAATTTGGATTGTTTGGATTGTTTGGATTGTTTGGATTGACTCCCGACATTGTGGACATCATCATCATCATCATCATCAACATCGTGTTCATCAACATAATAATAGTCATCATCATCAACATCATCAAACCCTTATTGACGATCTTCAATGAATGTAGAAGTTTAACGGGGGTGGGATAATTAAACCCTTATTGAAGATCTTCAATGAATGTAGAAGTTTAACGAGGGTGGGAGAATTAAACCCTTATCGAAGATCTTCAATGAATGTAGAAGTTTAACGGGGGTGGGAAAATTAAACCCTTATTGAAGATCTTCAATGAATGTAGAAGTTTAACGGGGGTGGGAGAATTAAACCCTCATCGAAGATCTTCAATGAATGTAGAAGTTTAACGGTGGTGGGAGAATTAAACCCTTATTGAAGATCTTCAATGAATGTAGAAGTTTAACGGGGGTGGGAGAATTAAACCCTTATTGGAGATTTTCAATGAATGTAGAAGTTTAACGGGGGTGGGAGTTTAATATTCCCTAATATCTTTGTTGATCTTCCCAATTGAATGTAAAGTTTAACGGGGGTTGGAGTTTAATATTCCCTAATACCGTTTTTGTTTTTCCCATAGGAATTTCGGGTGTTTTGACATTTTTTTTGTATAGTCCCTAGTTGTTTTCCCCATAGGATTTTAAGGTGTTTTGACCTTGTTTGTTTAATAGTCCCTAGTACCATTGTTATTTTCCCCATAGGAATTACGGTAATTTGCAACATCATTTGTTTGTGAATGGGAAACCTCTACGCTGCAACGCCTGGGCAAAACCCAGGCGTTGCGCGTATATATATATATATACATATTTTTTTTTCATTTTTACCCCTTTGTTTTCCTACATCTTCCTTGGCCAGGTTGCCTCGCTCTGGGAGAGGACTAGGCGAGGTGGACCAGACATCGCTGCTTCTCGGAAACGAAGTTGTTTTTGCGAGGCAGAATATGCAGTCCGCCATTGAGAGCTATGAAGTCTTTGGCTCATTTGGAAGAACCTGTTTGATCCTTTTTGTATAATTTGTATGCCGAGTCTTGATTTCTAAGGTCATCTTCAGAATCTCGAAAGAACTTGGATACGTCCCGCGCCCAGAGTTCAGCTCTACTCGAGGCGCTTGCCCATGTCCCATTCAACCAAACTGACCAGGACAAAGAAGAAGCTCACTGCTGCAGCTTTGTGCCCGGCCAAGGACTTGAACATTCCACGCAGAATCGCAGATATCACAGCTTGATTCCAAATCATGTACAATCAATATAAGATCCAATAAATTATTGATTTATATTGAATAGTCTGATTAGTATTGCTTGCTTTGTCCACTTAGTCTACTTGCAGACACAAAAATGCTGCCTGGACTTCAGACACACTTTTTCGATTTCGTTGTGGAGAGGAGCTGAAGCAAGCTGCCTTGGTCGCATTTGCAGACTCTGTGAGGCACGAAGGGAAAGAGGGGAGATGAAGAGGAAAATGGAGAGTTGGAGAGTTGAAGCTGCTGAAGAGTCACAATACTTGTGTTTTCACTGATACTTACAGAGTTCAATTGATACTTCAAGAGTTAAAGAGTTGGGGCAGACTGTTCACTCCAAGGGTTGTAATCCCGCCGTGTGGACACCTGTTGAGTCCATGCTGCAGGTGCGAACATCGCCAACCGAAAGAGGGCCGGAGATTGATTGTTGCCTCCATGTGTCAACCCTGACCAAGCTTACGCTCCGATGGAGTGTTGTGCGTGATTGCAAAAAAAAAGCGCCCGCTGAAGTTTGGCATTCGTGATGCGGCTGCACACTGTTGGGCGAGCGATTTTTGCTGTTTGTGAAATCCACATGTTCACCCCAAAGCCAGTGCGAAACCGAAGAAACTGTGTATTTTGACGATCTGTACTAGAAGCTTTATCAGAATCTTGACTGCAAGTTCGGTTCCTTCTGTGTCAATGGATGCTCTCTGTCGGAGCTGTCAGGATCTGCCAGAGCAGGAAGCAGGTTTGGTAGGGTGTTGTATTCCGGTTGCGTTGGGGGTAGATGATAACCCGAGCACGGTTGCGTACATCCTCAACAACAACAACAACAACAGCAACAACAACAACAGCAACAACATCATCATCATCACCATCATCATGATCATGATCATCATCATCGTCATCATCATCATCATCATCTTCATCATCTTCATCATCATCATCATCATCATTCCGGTTGCGTTGGGCCTGCTTAGTTTAACAATGTTTAACATATTTTCACATGTTTCAGTTGCACCTCCTTCTATATGGACTTTTTATGCCCATATGACGAGTGTAGGAACCAGACGGAATGGATGAAATGCAGTGGCACCATGGACGCGCCGATCGGATTCGCTTCGCTTTGTGCGTAGGTCAAGCAGAGGGTGTGACATCCAGCCACAAGGACTGACCTGACCGTGTGCATTTCCCGAAGTCAACACCCACAAAGCTGTGATTACGTAGAGAATTGCCAAGTCTTTTCTCTATTACCTTTCGTGCCAAGTTTGAACCTTTCCTGCAATATGTTGGTTCGAACCAGCCTGCTATTTCGCTCTTGGTTGGGGCCCAATGCATGAAATCGTTATTCTTCAATGTTCTTCGCTTTGGATCGGCGATCAGCGTTTGTTCCTCTAAAAGGGGGAGGAAATTGCGCAGGTCGGGGACGGCTTTTCGAAGTTTAGAAGTATGGTAGCTGGAAATGCGGGCTGAACAGGGGACTACTTAGCCCCAACCTAAGCCCACTTGGAGCAGTACGTGGCCTTACGTTGAGCTGAACACAAGCTGACTTGGGCCCAACTTGCTCTCAAAAGGGGTCACCAGATGACGAACTCATACGGACCCAAAGTGGAGATTTGATTCATTTTAACATTGTGCCCGGTTCCGTGAAATTGCGCCAGAAGGGCCGTCCCGGGCTGGTTCCGACCGGTGACCGGGCAACCGGGCTGACCGGCCGGTTGCCCGGTTGACCGGCCTGACCGGCCGGGATGCGCCCTGCAAATCGCATGTCTGGGACTTCAATTGCAAAATCGGTGGGCTAAGGTTTTGCAGGTATTGTAGGGTAGGCATGCGCGCTGAAAACGAATCAGCAATTGAAGGCTGATGAACTACACACTCAAGAGAGGGCTAGAAATAACATGACAGGCCTGCATTGGGACGTCAAGACTTCAAATGCACAGCTGAGTTGGCCGGTTGTTGAACATTTACAGAAGTGTTCGAAAAACAATTTTTGTTCGGACGGTTAAAAAACGAACAAGAAAAATAGTCGCACCGCCACGAGGTGTATCAAACCGAAATGAACAGAACAGAAACAAGTGTTCCAATTGGTCGTGAAAGCATCCATTTATCTTTCTATCTGCATTCATCTATCTGTTTTCTTGATCTATGTATCAATCCATCTATCTCTCTCTCTCTCTCTGTCTGTGTCGCTCTGGGCTCTGCCTCTCCGTCAGTTTTGCTGTGCCTTCTCTTTCTTTTGACCAAATCCACCTGCACATTTTTCAACTGTCATCATGTGATCGCATTTTCTTCTGTTGCTACCTGCAGGAAATCTCTAACATCCGGTGCCATCTGGTCCTTTAATGGTTGGTTTAATCCCTCGCTTGATAGGTGAAAGCCCCGCATTTTGGGCTGTTGAATCCACAAAAAAAGCACCAGAGCCAGGCTTCAAAGACGGTGACCATTCGACCTGCCAAGCTTCCGCTGGGTCCACATGCCACGAAGCCTTTGTGTGGAGCTCATGAAAAGCTGCAGCAGATGATGTGCGATTTTGTGGATTTTTTTAATTGGAAATTGCCGTGAGCTGGACCATGTCTTAATTTTTTCTGGGCGATTGGGATGCCTCGGAGTTGCCAAACCATGTACGAATTGCAGAATTGCAGCCATCACGCAATGATGCCATGGTTGCCGAGGTCGCCCAAACAAAAGCCAGAGTCAGGGTCTGAAGCATTGGATTGACATCAATGTCTTATATACATTTATATACATGTGTGGAAAAGGCCTTCCAGTGCCACTTCAAGGCACAAGAGGTGGAACTTCGCAAGACATGACTTGATAGATTTGATAGGCCGCTTTCAAATGAGTATATGTTGTGAATGGCCCTTACTTGAGCTGTAACAGTCAGTAAAAGAGCTTCTTACTAAACATGACCTCCTAATGTCGCACCAGCGAATTTTTCATACAAAAAATACCCGGGCAAGAGACCCCAAACAGTGTGTAGTTAGGATTCGAGAGGGAAAGGTGGAGAGGACCTAAAATCATCAGTGGCTGCAAGCTAGCAGGACAGGAGCGGCCCTAGTAGTGAAAAGAAGAGGTACTAGGTCAGTTCTGCAAGTTCCCTTTGTGAAGATCTCCGTAGAAGATCGTGCGCAAGATCTTCTTGAGAGGGTCTCTGTAGAAGCTGCTGTGCAGGATCCCTGTGTAAGGCTATCTATAAATGATCTCCAAGCAAGACCTCTGTTCTCTTCACCAGGTCTCTGTACAAGATCTCCATCACAGGTCTCCTGGCAAGATCTCTGTACAAGATCTCTATAAGAGCTCTCTCTGCACAGATCTCTTGAAAAGGTCTCTTGGCAAGACCTCTGGACAAGATACCCATAAGAGACCTCTCGGCAAGATCTCTTTATGAGATCTCTGTGCAAGCTCTCTATAAAAGCCCTCTTGGCAAGATTCATATAAGACCTCTTGGCAAGATCTCTGCAACAGATCTCTATGCAATGTCTCTGAGCAAGGTCTCCAGAAGAGGTGTCCTGGGAAGATTTCTGTATAAGAGCTCTATAAGAGGCCTATTGGCAAGACTCTTGAAGGGACCTCTCTATAAGAGATCTCCACAGAAGATTTCTGTAGGGCATCTGAAAGTAAGATCTCTGTTCAAGCTCTCTGTAAAAGATCTCTAAGCAAGATCGCTGCTCTCTTCGCCGGGTCTCTGGACAAGATCTCTATAAGAAATCTCTTGGCAAGATCTCTGTACAAGATCTCTACAAGAGCTCTGATGGCAAGATCTCTGTAAGAGGACTCTTGTCAAGATCTCTGAACAAGATCCCATGAGAAGTCTCTTGGCAAGATCTCTGTGCAAGCTCCCTCTTGGCAAGATTCTGTGTGAGATGTCTCGTTTTGTGCGGTCCGCGACACCCGTTTCGTGCCAGCCTGCGCAGTCGAAATGCTCATGGGCATTTTGCAAGAGCCATTTTGCGTGGAAATCTAAAGGGAAAATGCCAACCGCTAATGCCTGCGCAGTCGAAATGCACATGGACGTTTCACAAGAACCATTTTGTGTGGAAGTTTACAGGGAAAATGCCGGACGCGACAGATACCACCTCAATTAAACACGGGGCCTTAACAATTCCCGTAAGAACCCCTCAGTGTGGCCACACTGTTTGGGGAATTGCGGGGAACATGCAGGAAACTTTAGACTACAAAAGCCCGTCGATCCAGGTCAACTCTAGCAATTTCTGGTTGGCACAAGACATCACAAATCACAATTTCAAGATGCCTGCTTTTCTTGGCTCAGCGCCGCAAAATTTTTCCCCAGAGAGCAAAGCAACTGGGCTTCAAGTCTGGGAGAAGTTGGATATGTGCGTTTTGGAGCGGGCATGGTACTGTCAGAGTGCCGTGTGCGCTTTGGACTGCTGTCGGAGTGCTGTGCGTGCCTGCCCGCTGCAAGGTGCCGCTGCAGAGTGCCGCTGCAGGGTGCTTGTGTCAGAGTGCTGTGCGCGTTAGAAGCAAGATGCAGCCCACAAACCCGAATGCTCACACGTATGTTAATGGTACGGATGTCGAAACACACGGCTATACAGTCACGTAGAACACTTTTGTGAAGCAGTTTATTGAACAGTCTTGTACATTCTTCCCCTGTTGCCAGACCAGTGCGCCGTAGAATGTGGAATATGGAAGAAGGTGGCGTGCAAAGTGTGGAGTGTGGAGTGTAGAGTCTGGAGTGTAAAGTATGAAATGTAAAGTGTGGAGTGTAAAGTGTAAAGTGTGGAGTGTGGAGCGCGTAGGGAGAGTGTAAAGTGTAGAGTGTAAAGTGTGGAGTGTAAAGTGTGGAGTGTAAAGTGTGGAGTGTAAAGTGTGGAGTGTAGAGTGTGGAGTGTAAAGTGTTGAGTGTAAAGTGTAAAATGTGGAGTGTGAAGTGTAAAGTGTGGAGTGTGGAGTGTAAAGTGTGGAGTGTACACTGTGGAGTGTGAAGCGTAGAGTGTGGAGTGTGGAGTGCGCAGCGTAGAGTGTAGAGTGTGGAGTGTGGAGTGTAAAGTGTGGAGTGTGGAGTGTAAAGTGTAGAGTGTGGAGTGTGGAGTGCACAGCCTACAGTGTAGAGTGTGAAGTGTGGAGTGTGAAGTGTGGAGTGTGGAGTGTGAAGTGTGGAGTGTGGAGTGTGGTGTGTAAAGTGTAGAGTGTAATGTGCAAAGTGTGGAATGTAAAGTGTGGAGTGTGAAGTGTGAAGTGTGGAGTGTACAGTGTGGAGTGTAAGGTGTGGAGTGTAAAGTGTAGAGTGTGGAGTGTGGAGTGTGGAGTGTAAAGAGTAGAGTGTAAAGTGTAGAGTGTAAAGTGTAGAATGTGGAGTGTGGAGTGTAAATTGTGGAATGTAAAGTGCGGAGTGTAAAGTGTAAGGTGTGGAGTGCAAAGTGTAGAGTGTGAAGTGTGGTGCGTAGAGTGTACTGTGTAAAGTGTAAAGTGTGGTGTGTCAAGTGTGGAGGCCAAAGTGCGGAGTGTGGAGTGTAAAGTGTAGAGTGTGGAGTGTAGAGTGTAAAGTGTTGAGTGTAAAGTGTGGAGTGAGGAGTGTAAAGTGTAAAGTGTGGAATGAGGAGTGTAAAGTGTAAAGTGTGGAGTGTAGAGTGTGGAGTGTGAAGTGTAAAGTGTAAAGATTGGAGTGCACAGTGTGGAGTGTAAAGTGTGGAGTGTAAACTGTAGAGTGTGGAGTGTACAGTGTAGAGTGTAAAGTGTCGAGTGTAAAGTGTAGAGCGTGGAGTGTGGAGTGTACAGTGTGGAGTGCGAAGTGTGGAGTGTAAAGTGTAAAGGGGGGAGTGTTGTGTGTAGAGTGTGGGGTGTAGGGTGTGGAGTGTAAAGTGGCAAGTGTAAAACTTGGAGTGTAAAGTGTGGAGTGTAAAGTGTAAAGTGTGGAGTGTGGAGTGTCCAGTGTCGAGTGTACAGTGTAAAGTGTGGAGTGTCAAGTGTGGAGTGGAAAGTGCGGAGTGTGGAGTGTAAAGCGTAGAGTGTAAAGTGTAGAGTGTAAAGTGTAGAGTGTAAGGTGTGGAGTGTGGAGTGTAAAGTGTAGAGTGTGGAGTGCACAGCGTAGAGTGTAGAGTGTGGAGTGTGGATTGTAGAGTGTGCAGTGTAAAGTGTACAGTGTAAAGTGCAGAGTGTGGAATGTAAAGTGCGGAGTGTAAAGTGTGGAGTGTGGAGTGTAGAGTGTGGAATGTGGAGTGTGGAGTGTGGAGTGTGGAGTGTAAAGTATGGAGTGTGGAGTGTAAAGTGTGGAGTGTGAAGTGTAGAGTGTGAAGTGTAAAGTGTGGAGTGTGGAGTGCAAAGTGTGGAGTGTGAAGTGTAAAGTGGGGAGTGTACAGTGTGGAGTTTAAAATGTGCAGTGTAAAGTGTAGAGTGTGGAGTGTGGAGTGTAAAGCGTAGAGTGTAAAGTGTAGAGTGTAAAGTGTAGAGTGTGGAGTGCGGAGTGTAAAGTGTCGAGTGTGGAGTGTGGAGTGTACAGTGTAGAGTGTGGAGTGTGGAGTGTGAAGTGTGGAGTGTAAAGTGTAGAGTGTAAAGTGTGGAGTGTAAAGTGTGGAACGTGGAGTGTGGAGTGTGAAGTGTGGAGTGTGGAGTGTATAGAGTGTGGAGTGTAGAGCACGCAATGCGACACGTCTTTAAGTGCTGCGCTTGCCACGCAAAATGACGACGGAGATCTCCCAAGTTCTGCGCCTGCCACGAAAACTGCAACGCATCTTCTGAAAACGTCGCAAAAGTATTGCGTCTGCGACACAAAGCGACTGTCGACACGTTATCAATCAGGTTGGAATGTCACAAAGCGCCACGCCTGCCACGCAAAACGACATGACAACCTGCTTGGAAACCTTCGAAAAGGAGAGGTTTTGCAGCTTCCCCCATAGAGACGGCGAGGCCACAGGAAAGCCAGAGACTCGAGACGAGACATGTTGGAGCATCAAAACGAGCATTTTGTGCGAGATTCCTCCAAGTTTCACACTGTGTAGCTTCAAAATCGACGTTTTCCTACGAGTTTTCTTATGAACCTCCAAATTTGCTACTTCAAAATCGATGTTTCGTGCGAGGCCTCCGTCAATTTTCATCACATCTCACAAAAGGCCACGCCTGCCACGGAATTTGCACCTTGTCGCAGCCCTGACAATGCGATTCGCAAAAAACGCACAACACGACACGTCTATAAGTGCTGCGCCTGCCACGCAAGATGAGGACAGAGATCTCCAAAGTGCTGCGCCTGCCACGAAAACTGCAACGCATCTTCTGAAAACGATTTTCCACACGTTGCAAAACACGTCATCCAAAGATGACCCCTTTTGCAGAATTTACCATAGACACGGCCATACGGCCCTCACGCGGACGGTTGCGAACGGTTGCGAACGGTTGGGGATGGTTGCGAATGGTTGCGGACGGTCGCGGACGGTTGCGAAGATAAACGCGTGTTGAGCGAACACACCCTCAACCCCAAACCCCCAGAGTGAAACGGGAACCCTTGCTACGCGTTCGGGAAAAAACATTTAAGTGCTGCCCACGAATACCTTTTGCAATATATCATATATAGCACATTTTTTTGCGCCAGAAAAAGATGTTTTTTTTTGGCATTTCCTCAGCACGCAGCGCATGGTTTCTTTATTTCTTCGTGGCCAAATTGTGCTCTTTTTTGTTTGTCTTCGTGTGACACATAATGTTTTTTTCCTGCATTTCTTCGTGCACCAAATGCCGCGCTTTTTTGCATCCATTCGTGCAACATAATTATCGTATTTTTTTCTGCGTTTCTTCGCGCCATATCGTGTTTCTTTCTGCGGTTCTTCGTGCACCAAATCGTGCCGTAAATTGTGCTACTGTTGCAAGCCATGGGCAAGACAAACTGTATGAAACGTTTTCCCTCTGGTAATCAAACATGAAAATTCAAAGTCCCCCATTGATGGATCATTTTCCGAGCTATTGACTTCCAAGTTAGTTCTAGAACTTCCCAGCCATGTTGCTTCCTTTTCACTTTGCCGACGTTGCCGGAAGCCGGAAGTCCATGGGGGTTTTCAGGTCACCGGCACGGAAAGCGCCACAAGAAGCGACAAAGGCAGCACCTTCGAGCCAACCTTCAAAGACGGTGACCATTCGACCTGCCAAGCTTCCGCTGGGTCCACATGCCACGGAGCCTTTGTGTGGAGCTCATGAAAAGCTGCAGCAGATGATGGGCGATTTTGTGGATGATTTCCCGGAAAAATCGTGTTTTTTAATTGGAAATTGCCGTGAGCTGGACCATGTCTTAATTTTTTCTGGGCGATTGGGATGCCTCGGAGTTGCCAAACCATGTACGAATTGCAGAATTGCAGCCATCACGCAATGATGCCATGGTTGCCGAGGTCGCCCAAACAAAAGCCAGAGTCAGGGTCTGAAGCATTGGATTGACATCAATGTCTATATACATTTATATACATGTGTGGAACAGGCCTTCCAGTGCCACTTCAAGGCACAAGAGGTGGAACTTCACAAGACATGACTTGATACGTAGATTTGATAGGCAGCTTTGAAATGGTTAATATGAGAATGTGGCTTCTGGTCACCAAAGATCAAAATTCAAAGTTCCCCATTGATAGATCATTTTCCGAGCTATTGACTTCCAAGTTAGTTCTAGAACTTCCCAGCTATGTTGCTTCCTTTTCACTTTGCCGACGTCGCCGGAAGCCGGAAGTCCATGGGGGTTTTCAGGTCACCGGCACGGAAAGCGCCACAAGAAGCGACAAAGGCAGCACCTTCGAGCCAACCTTCAAAGACGGTGACCATTCGACCTGCCAAGCTTCCGCTGGGTCCACATGCCACAGAGCCTTTGTGTGGAGCTCATGAAAAGCTGCAGCAGATGATGGGCGATTTTGTGGATGATTTCCCGGAAAAATCGCGTTTTTTAATTGGAAATTGCCGTGAGCTGGACCATGTCTTAATTTTTTCTGGGCGATTGGGATGCCTCGGAGTTGCCAAACCATGTACGAATTGCAGAATTGCAGCCATCACGCAATGATGCCATGGTTGCCGAGGTCGCCCAAACAAAAGCCAGAGTCAGGGTCTGAAGCATTGGATTGACATCAATGTCTTATATACATTTATATACATGTGTGGAACAGGCCTTCCAGTGCCACTTCAAGGCACAAGAGGTGGAACTTCACAAGACATGACTTGATACGTAGATTTGATAGGCAGCTTTGAAATGGTTAATATGAGAATGCGGCTTCTGGTCACCAAAGATCAAAATTCAAAGTTCCCCATTGATAGATCATTTTCCGAGCTATTGACTTCCAAGTTAGTTCTAGAACTTCCCAGCCATGTTGCTTCCTTTTCACTTTGCCGACGTCGCCGCGGAAGCCGGAAGTCCATGGGGGTTTTCAGGTCACCGGCACGGAAAGCGCCACAAGAAGCGGCAAGCGGAGCCTCGAAGGCCGTGCCGATCTCAGCTCCAGGGCCAGTGCCAGCACGGCCAGGGCGGACCACGGCCGTCCAGGGGGGGTGACGGAGTCTGTTAGGCCGTGCCACGGAAGAAGCCGACGGAACCAAAAGTGAAGGCAGGGCAACTGGCAGAAATTATTTTGTTTGTTTACCTATCTATGTATGTATGTATGTATGTATGTGTGTATGTAATTAAGTAAGTAATCTATGAAATGTAATGTTGATGTATTTATTTGCGTATGCATGTATTTTTATGCATCTTTTGTAGAAATTTATTTTTATTTTATATTATTTGTTTTTTTTTGTATCTTTTTTTGTTTGTTTTGAAATTATTTATTCATTTATTTAGTTAGTTTTTGTTTACATGTGATTACATATGTATGTTTATGTTCAACGGAAGTTTAGTTAGCAAACTTCCGAGTTACGGACGATGGTCGTGGTTAGTCTTCACACCATCATGTCAGCAACATCATCATGTCAACCCCATCATCAGGTAATTAGTTGGGAAGTGAAAGAGCCCGGGAGCGCGTGATTTCGCGGGTGAAACGACTTTTGGGCACGAAACCTTCTGTATATACAGGTACGGTGGCTCCCGGGGTCGCGAAAGGGGGGGTCTGTGTTTCCACGGTTTCGGGCCTCAATCTGGGAAAGCATCGAGAAAAGTGCCAAAGAAATGTTAAAAAACCGTCAGGTTCGGAGTGGCCCCAGATTTGTGCCCCAGAGTTCAGAGATTTCAGGTCCGAATTTAAGTGGTGTCCATTCGATGGTGTGTCCGCATGCTATGCGGGATTGCAGCTGGCAGTGGAAAAAGCACATTGGCACGGCTGCTCGCAGGAAAGGAGTCGTGATGCCGTGACGCTCCTGCTAAGTGGGATTGCAGCTGGAGGTTGCTGCGAGAATGTTTTTTTAGCTAAGTGGGACTGCAGAAGCTACAGAAGAGGTAGCTGAGAGAAGGAGGCAGCTCAGAGCAGAAGTGGGTCAGAGAAAAAGAAGCCCAGATATTAGATGCTGAGAAGAGGTAGCTGAGAGAAGAGGCACCTCAGCGAAGTTCCTTCCTTCCTTCCTTCATTCCTTCCTTCCTTCATTCCTTCCTTCCTTCGTTCATTCATTCATTTCATTTCATTTCATTTCGTTTCATTTCATTTCATTTCATTTCATTTCATTCCATTCATTCATTCATTCATTCAATCAATCAATCAATCAATTAAGCAGTCATAGATGCGTTCCATCTGGTCTCTGCTTCATTTACTGAATCGTTGAACCATTCAGTTGTTGATTCATGCCTCATTTTTTCGTTCATTCCTTCATCCGTTCATGGATTGATTCAATCAGTCATCCATTCAGTCAGTCGTACATTGATCATTTCGTTGACATTTCAACAGCCGTTTGCACATGTGTTACTGTGCCTCGCAACCTCAACATTGAATTCCTTGTATTCTCACGGGCGTTCTTATGACCCATTGATTACTTTTAACTTTTAACCCGTGTTTTTTTTGAAACTTCCGCCCCATCATGGCCGGGCACTATCTGGAATATGGATAGGACGATGAAACCAATCAAAACCACTAATCAATATATTAAATTGACACTGAAAATCGCAGTTGGTGTCATGGATAAAACTTCATTTTTATTTTCAATTTCTTGCTGTTTCTAGGCGACCTCAGTCGTGAAGACTTTCCCGGCAAAAACACAAAAAACTTCGCCGGCACCACCTGTGGCTACTTCTTCTGTCAAGGCCAAAACAATGAGAGGAGAGTCTTAAGCACGGTGCAATGGAACCATTTGCCATTCAAGAGCAAACACGTCAGATCTTTTAATGTAAACATTTTTGAAACATTTCATTTCTGTTCGACAAACAGGTACAAAGTGTTTTTTTCTTGTAGGTTCGAAGCGAAGTGAAGAGCTACCCGTCTCGTGCTGTCCTGAGAAGATCCAGTATGCGACGCCTTTCACAATTTTTTGTTCAAAAAACTTCAAAATGTTAAAGTCCGGCCTTGAAATCAAAAGGCAGGTTCAATTGAATTTCTCAGTTTGGCTCACAGTTTCCTGGATCACAGCAAGCTACCAGACTGTCACAATGTCTTTCCCTCATGAGATATTGCAACATGCACAGAACCCGTGCATGACGGGTATACAACGCCTTCATATCATGTAAATGATGCGTACACAACCAAACTCATCAAATGAACGTGTTCGTAGCAAACATGACGCGATGCCAACAATGTTTCATCGATTGAAAAAAAACAGGACCCTTAAGTTGACAAACAACATTTTGTGGAATTTTGAAGCAGCCTCCACGTCCAGTGTTTGGGACTCTGCCTGAAATGGAGATTGAAACTCTCTGCAAGTCCTCGACATTTTGCGCGCCGAAGCCCAAGGAAACTCCTCCTGAGCACACTTTCCGTATCTGGAACCAGTTTCTTTTCTCTAGATCTAATTAGATCTTGTGTATCATGATTTGTCTTGTTGGAATCATTGGGAATCATTGCTTCACAAACAGCCTAAGGCGTGCCCCTTGGAGACATCCGTGTCATCATGGTGGGAGAAAGTTCCGGGCCGATGGAATGGGATGTGGCTCTGTTTTGAGGCCAGTTTTGGCAACTGATTTGGAGTGTTGGCAACTCTTGAGCGACCTGACTTGCACCTTGTTGGTATTGGCATGCTGAAGTAGGAGAAGTGGATGTGAGTCAAACGATTGCTTACCAATGATGCAGACTCGTTAATGCAGGCCATTGCGAATTTGCGCTTTCACTGCTTTGATCTTGTCAAGGCGTTCCCAGGCCATACAGACGGCAAGCACTTTTCAGTCGCAGTGGCAACGTGTAGAAATAGACTAAAGAGTGGAATGGACAGATGTTGCTCTACAGGCTCGAAGATGTCTTCCTGCAATAGAAACCTTCGAAGAAGAGGATCAAGAAGGGATTGATGATACAGACGAAGGTGATGAAGAGGCCCGAATTCTTTCCAAGAAGCTTAAGATGAAAGAAGGCAAGAATCTGCCGGCAATCTGACAGAACTTGTTTGGATTCTCGTGTTTTCCCGCTGTTCGAGAACTAATAACTGTGCCAAATCTGTTCGAGATGTTTGAACTTGGCTTCTGCCAGGGGAGGCGAAGCTTCGAAAACTGCTGCTTGTCAGCAGATCGCAGGAGTTCCGAGTCATTCCGAGTCCCAAGATGTCCCACAGCGCTGAAACCCTGACCTTTCAGAGATTTGCACCACAGATCTCCACAGACTCCCTGCAGGTGTTGGTTCTTACGCCTGGCTTTGGGAGACTCAGGACAATCACAGTGCCGGCAACACGAAGAGATCGAAGAGTCTGAACATGTAAACAATATATATATATATACACGTATATGTAGAATATATATATATGTATATAAATATATGTATATATATATATGTATGTATGTATGTATGTATGTATGTTGTGAATGTCCGCTTTCAGCTTCCATTCGTTCAGGTTCAGATGCATCCTTGGCTGGACAACCAAGTGCCGTTTAGCAATTAGGCTCAGGGAGCCCTGGACGCGGGCGGGTTTAGGGAAAACTTGCTTGACCAATAGCTACTGCTGTGGGATCAGCTTGGTTTGCAAAGGGTGTGTTGAGGGTGTCTGCATAGACTTCATTTAGGTGATTGCATTGTGGAAACATCTTTCTTTGGATTTCTTTAGGGCATTTGCCCGGCTGAGTGATTTTGACTATCTTTGGTTTTGGACAGTGCGACAACAGCAGTTGGTTCAACTACTGGTGATTTACACTGGTAGCGGAGCCGCCACAAGGCGGTATCCGGGGAGATGAGCTCTGCGGCCGGTGCAACCAGCACTGAAAATGGTGGCGTCAGCAACCAGCTGTCGTCATTGGTGCCGACTTTTGACCCAGCCTTGGACGATGTACTGATTTACCAGAAGAAGGTGGAATTGGTCTTGGCCGCATGGCCAAAAGCCCGTTTGACAGAACTGGTGATGCGCCTTATTTTGGGGTGCAAGGGATCAGCTTTTGAGAAACTCCAGATACATCAACAGGAACTTCTGGTGGGCGAGGAGAAGTCTGTTCACAGAATGATTGAGTTGCTGGGGGGACAATGGGGGCGCATACCACTGGAGAGACACTACCAGGATGCAGAAAGGGCCCTTTATGAAACCCAACAACGTGCCGATGAAACAAATGACAGCTATCTTGCCCGAAGTGATGTTCTGTGGAGTAAACTCCTAGCTCGAAAATTGACGTTGGAGGACTTGCAAGCCTACATCCTCCTTCGAGGATCCAATTTGTCCAGTGATGAGAAGAAGAAGGTGATCCTAGACTCCAAGATAGCAGGTAAGCTGACAGTTCAGAAGGTAACAGAAGCCATCCGGACCCTTGGTGCCAGTTTTTTCATGGACATGACAAACCAAAAAAAACCAGCCAAGACCAAGGTGTACGATCAGTCAACTCTTGTCGCAGAAACTGACTCTGATTATCCACCAGAACCGGAATCAGCCATGTTCGCCAACGATGAAGCCAATGAAGAGGACTTCATCGACCAGCTTTTGCAAGAGGGTGACAGTGATGCCACTTTCATCCATGACTTTGAAGGTGCCGCTTCTGAGACACTGCAGGATGACCCTGAACTTGCAACTGCGCTGATGGCCTATCAACAGGCCAGACATAGGCTGTCGGAGAGGTTCCGAAACCGTGGATTCTGGCCACCCAGGCCTTTTCAGGGTTTGTCCAAAGGCAAGGGATTCCAGTCCAAGTCAGCTGGAAAGGGAAAGGGTTCAACCAACTGGACCAATCGACCAAAGAAAACTCTCCAAGAACGCATCATGAGTAGCACTTGCCGGCTTTGCAACCAGCGAGGCCATTGGAAAGCCGAGTGTCCGCTGAGGTCTCAAGGCAATGGATCCCAGACAGGTAGCACTGTAGGAAATAGCCAAGCTCCGACAACCACCATGATCGGTGAGTCGGAAGTCGACAGTTTGCCGCTGGAGTTCGTCAACTTGCCCGAGACCCTGATGCCTCCTTTGGAGGAATTGCCCGTCACTTTGAAGGTGCCTTCAACAGTTTTTTTGAGTTTTGTACAGGGCCATTCCAAGTCGTTTTGCTATCGTGGGAGGATTCTGGGGAAATCTAGATTAGATAGCAATAGTATAAATGAGCCCAGCATGCGTGCCGTCACAGCCAAAGATCGCCTGCGCCAACAACTGCACAGGATGAGTTCTGGCACACTTGAGCCAGTGAACCGAGATCGTGTGAGATGTGCCAGCCCAGGTTTGCCAGTAGATGCCTTGCGTGTCCCGACCTGTCCGGAGCCCCACAAGTCAGTAGGAGATAAGTTTTCCATGTTTGCACCCACATGTTTTGCCACCCATGGAACTCTCGGAGTGCTTGACTTGGGAGCCTCAAAGACAGTTGTAGGTGCGGACTCAGTGGCCGCTCTGACTGAGGGATTAGATCCCTCACTGCGAGATCGCCTGACCCGATGTCCATGTGATATCACTTTCAAATTTGGCAACCAAGGAACACTTCGCAGCTCACAAGCATTGGTTGTGCCATTGGGTCGCCTGCTTTTGAAGGTAGCCATAGTTTCGGGTAACACCCCTTTCTTGATGAGTAATTCATTAATGAGGGTTCTCCAAGCTGAAATTGATTGCTCTAAGCATCAGTTCAACTGGATGTCCCCATTGACATGCACTTGACAAAACGGGGTCTGTACCTGGTAGATATCAATGATATTGCACTTGCGGCCGAACGCAAGCAGAGTGGCAAAGACCATGCAGCGAAGCCTGTAGGATCGACCTTTGTCACCTTGCCCGATGACCGCCAAACAGGCAGCAATACCGATGGTGATGAACCTGGGGACATGTTAGGGAAACATGAGATGCAGGCAGGGCCCATGAAAGATGCACCACCGGAGACATCAGCCATCCAATCCACAGACCATATCCGAAATTCTGAACCACTGAAAATGCAACCCGATCGTAGCAAGAGTGAGGCTCAAGGACCGATCGATCATCAGACCCAAACTTCACCCGTGAACCATGTCGCTGAGCAATCGCCTGAAGAACCTGCAGCTGGCAGCCGAACCAGTGATCCCAGACATGAGCGACCAGACCATAAGCAGTCTGGAAAATCTGACCATCAATTTCGGTCAGAAACGCAGGGGCAAGAAGTTTCACGAAGTCTGGGCAGATCAGGAATGGGTTCTGTTCATGGCAAATCGATACGCCAAGTCAGGGAATCCGAATCATCAGAAGTTTCTGAAGTACGTAGATCTCATGGTGACTCACCACGAGGAACAACAGTTGCCCATCACCATGAACGGAAGTCCAGTGATCACCAGCCCTGGTACCGGAATTGTCTCACAGACAATCCATGGCCAGCCAAAGGCCAAAGCCAAAGCCAAGGGGATGCCCCGTGCCATGGGATACAATGTCCCTATGCAGGTTCCCAACCATTTGCCAGACTTGGACCCGGCCGACGCCGAATGGGAGAGTCATTCCATGACATATCAGATGGAGTATATGCCGGAAAATTCGATTGGCCAGAGCCCAGAATTCCAAGCAATGAGCCAAAGGCTCCTGCACATGGAAAATGCCCTGCAGCAGGTCATCGGTCACTTGGAGCACCAGGCTCAGGGGGTCGAGGAGGAGATTCCATCATAAATGATAACCCTGATGATGCAGAAGTGTTTGCCCAAGTTCATGTTGACCAACACCGAGTGTGGCATCAAATTCGGTTGTTTCAAAAGGAATTGGATGAAATCAGGAATCAGGTTCAACCGATGGGTAGACAGCATGATCTTGCTGAGATCTTTTGTGGACCCTCCTCCATGCTGACGCATCAGGTCCAACAATTAGGTGGCACGGCCTTTCGTTTTGGTCTTGAGCAAGGAGACCTCTCCACCATGGAGGGAAGAGCCTGTTTCGTAAGATGGCTTTGCACAGACTGCGACATGTCTGGATGAGCCCTGTGTGTGGGCCTTGGTCCTCTTGGAGCCGATTGAATGAATCCCGATCCATGGAATCCCAACAGAAATATCAACAGGATAGGCAAGACCTTCTTTATCAGATTGCACTAGCCATTGTGTTGTACCGCTTTCAGATTTCTCAGGGGCGACACTTTCATCTGGAACAGCCTCAAAGATCACTGCTAGTGCATCAGCCTTCCTTAGCCGAGATTTACCAACATACCCAAGTAGCTGAATTTGACCTCTGCCGAATGGGGAATATGACATGTCCTAAAGCAGGGTTGCCTATGAAAAAGGGGATGCAGGTCATCACGACATTTGAACCAATGTACCGTATGTTGCATGGGAAACAATGCCGACATGATCATGAACATCAGCCCATTGAAGGCACCATCATGTTGAAACATGGACCCATGTTAAGGAGCCAATACACTGAAAACTATCCACGAGTGTTTGCCAGATCTCTTGCAAAGATCATGCACAAGGCGGGTTATACTTGGCCATTCAATTGGCAGGCAGGCCTGATGGTGGAGTCCACTCGGCCGACTGAGTGTGAATCAGTGTTAGTAGCCAAGAAAATTCCCAAAGTTCCAGGCAGACCAATGAATAAACCTGAGTATCCCAAATCCGAACTTGTTGAACCTGTTCCCATGTCAGAGGGTGAGGTGAAACGTAGACGGTTGCATGGAAAGCAAAGCTCAGAACCAACCATGGAAGAACTTCAGCAATTAATGCAAGATATCCACAAAAGGGTTCCCCGGGTCGTGGTCGCATCTTACTGCAGGACCATTCCATACTCCGATCACTCCAACAGTTGTTCCCCGATAAGAGGGTCATATCAGTTGTTGCATGTCGAGGGACGGATAGGACCATGGCACCACCAACAAATATCATTCCATCACAAGCCCCATACAGAAGATCACTAATGTTACTTCGGCCCAGCGGTAACATTAAGTATGAAAAGAATTAGGAAAAATGGGATGAATTGTCAAAACGACAGCTAGTACGACCTGCTCATCCATGCCGGATCAACATCACAGTTTTTGCATGCAATCCACCCGAAACTCAAGGTGGTTCTGAAAGTTCACAAAGATCCATGCAAGCATCAGTGCCAGAAATGCCAGCTCGGCCGACCGAGCCAAATCCTCCGGCCAGCGTAGTCCCAGTTCCCACAATGTCCGACAATGTTCCGGCTGACAGTGCACCACGAGATGACCCGGAACAGATCAGTCAAGGTAGTCCCACAACTACCCAAATAGAGAATCCAGCAGTATCATCGTCCCATGGTGTCCGTTTTACCTCATTGTGCCGGTGGGAACAGAGTATGCTCCTGAAGATGCACCGGAATCTGGGTCATCCGTCGCCAGAGCGTTTGTCCCAGGCATTGCAGTCAGCAGGCTATTGAGCAGAAGTTGTGCAAGCCGCGCACGACATCAAATGTCCCACATGCATGAAATGTAGCCCGCCAAAAGCGCCGAGACCTGCCCACTTGAAGCCTATGATGGATTTTAATCATAAAATCTACTTAGATGGGGTTAATTGGACAAACGGACAGGGTCAAACCATGACCTTCTATCACATAATTGATGGTGGCTCCAATTACCACGTAGCCTTCATTGCACCAGCACACACAACGCAGGATGTAATTAAATTGATGAACCAGCACTGGATTTCCTGGGCAGGCGCCCCACATGAGCTACAGGTGGATGCAGGAACGGAGCTGAATAGCGCCGAGTTTGATAGCTTCCTCCAGTGTTTTTCGATCAACGGTACATCCATCAGCCCCGAAGCACATTGGCAGAATGGAAAGATTGAACGCCACGGCAAATTCTTGCAAAGAATGCTGGACAAGATAGATCAAGAAATTCCTATCACCGATTATCAACAGCTTCAGATGGCGTTAAACCAGAGCACCCATGCCAAAAATGCCATGATGATTCACCAGGGTTATACGCCCGAACTGATAGTCTTTGGCCGCCAAAGTAGAAGATTACCAGGATCCATCTTGAGTGACAATTCCATACCATCTCATGCATCCGCAACACAAGAAAGTGAATTCCCGACCCAACAGGAATTCAAACAGATGCTGCAAGTGCGAGAAGCTGCCCGCAGAGCGTTCCACAGTACCGACAATTGTGAAATCCTCCGGAGGGCTTTGCTTCGAAAATCTTGCCCGCATCGAGGCCAGTACAGCCCCAGTGGGTCATGATATGGCGGGAACCTCGAGATGCTAAGCTTGGTTGGTTAGGTCCCCATAGGGTAATTATCCAAGATGGTAACCACACAGTTTGGTCAACACGTTCAGGTAAGCTTTATAGGAGTGCACCGGAACATGTCCGCCTAGCGCATCCTGATGAGGTCCAATCAGAAGATGAACCATTGTCACCGGAGGAAATCACAGAAAAGCAAAAGCAGATTCAGCGCATGTCAGATCTACCAAGTGATCAGACAGAGGTCAGCCATGATGAGATTACCGAAGATGACACAGTTGCACCACTACCAATACCAGAAATTCCAAGCCATCCCAGCATAACTGATCAAACTTTCAATCGATACCCATCAACTCAACAACCAGATCAAGAACCAGAGATTTCTATCAGCAGCCAACCTTCGAGTAATGTAGAGGTCTCTGAAGAGGAAACCCTCATGTTCACGTGTCATGAATCCGCAGATGCCGTGGCCGACCTTGGTGCCCATGATCTTGCGTGGAGATGCGAACTTGAGGTGAGCCACCCAACATTCCATGAGATCACAAAAGGTATCTCTTGTGATGAATCACTACTCCTACTGGCCACCCAAGGCAAGAAGCAGAGAACGGAAGTGAGGTTGTCACAACTCACCACAGCCGAAAAAGCCGAGTTTGAAAAGGCCAAACAATCAGAGATTAATAACTGGCTTCAAACCGATACTATTACCAAAATCATGCGGAACGAAATTCCAGCTGACCAAATCCTGAGATGTCGTTGGATCTTGACATGGAAGCCCATTGACCCTACGGAGATAGAAAAACATGATGGCCGCACCCACAAAGCAAAGGCCAGACTTGTTATCCTAGGATACATGGACCCCAAAATCGACGAAGTACCCAGAGACAGTCCAACTCTTAATAAGACATCAAGAATGCCAACCCTACAGCTTGTAGCGTCATATGGGTGGTCCTTAATGTCTTTTGATTTCAAAGCAGCTTTTCATCAAGGCCAACCTCAAGAAGGCAGAACTATAGCAGTAGACCCAACGCCAGAGCTGAGAGCAGCAATGCGCATGTCTGCAGCAGAAATTGGTCTCTTGAACAAAGGAGCTTATGGACTCATCGATGCCCCTTACCTATGGTATTGTGCCTTGGTAAATGAACTCATGTCACTTGGAATGGAAATGTGCCCGTTTGACCCATGTTTGTTCGTGCTCAGAGAATCCAGCGATTCCACCTGTCCCGGACAACTAGCAGGGGTTTTGGGAATCCATGTGGATGATGGCATATGCGGGGGTAATGAAAAATTCCAAGAAGTTCTCCAAAAACTAGAGTCTAAATATCCCTTTGGTTCAAAAAGGTTCAATCCTTCACTTTTACGGGTATAGACTTGAGTCAACATGGAGATGGCCGCATCACCCTCAGTCAATCTGGTTATGTGAGGAAAATCTCTCCAATTCCCATTGACGTAAACCGTAAATCTCAGCCAAGCCTGAAGGTAACGGAAGAAGAACGCGGTCTTTTAAGAGGTTTGATTGGTTCCCTTCAATATGCCGCCACCAACACGAGACCAGACCTTGCAAGCAGGCTATCCGCACTGCAATCAGCAATCAATACTGCGACCATTGAGACACTTTGGGATGCCAACCGATAACTCCATGAAGCCAAGAAGTATCATGACATGATCCTGACCATTCGACCAATTCCACCAAAGGATTTCAGATTTATGGCTTTCTCCCATTAGTCCAATTTCCTGGAGCAGCAAGAAAATCCAGAAAGTAGTCACAAGTACCTTGTCAGCAGAGACCACGTCTTTAGCAGCAGCGATGGATCAACTGAGTTGGCTTCGAATCTTTTGGCAATGGCTATTAGATCTGTCTACCCAATGGAAAAAAGCCGGAAGACACACTTCCCAATATCCCTCAAACAATTTCAGTAGCCACCAAAATAGAAGATCATGATGTTGCGGTAACTGATTGTAAATCATTATATGATTTGGTAACCCGTACGGCTCCACCAGCATGTTCAGAATTTCGAGTACAATTGGTTGCTAGGGCAATAAAGGAAGCCATGAAGGAAGGAACCACCTTACGGTGGGTACACTCAGGAGCTCAACTTGCTGACGCATTGACAAAGATTATGGCCAGTCATTTTCAGCGAGAAACTTTGAAAGAAGGTGTTTTCCGCCTATGCGATGAAGATTCAACTCTGCGGCACCGTGCTCAAAATCGCGATCGAATCCGATGGCTCAGCCAAGGTTAAAATGAAGCCCAGAATGTCCAGCCAACATAAAGTTTTCACGAGTGTGAATGTCCGCTTTCAGCTTCCATTCGTTCAGGTTCAGATGCATCCTTGGCTGGACAACCAAGTGCCGTTTAGCAATTAGGCTCAGGGAGCCCTGGACGCGGGCGGGTTTAGGGAAAACTTGCTTGACCAATAGCTACTGCTGTGGGATCAGCTTGGTTTGCAAAGGGTGTGGCTACCCTCCTTCGCTTCCTGGCCTTTTCGCTTGAACGGAAGTTTTGTGGGCACTTTGCCCCGACCTTACCATTCATTCATTCTGTGGCGACAAAAGAGTGTTGGCCGACTGTGCAGTGGAGATTCATTGAGGGTGTCTGCATAGACTTCATTTAGGTGATTGCATTGTGGAAACATCTTTCTTTGGATTTCTTTAGGGCATTTGCCCGGCTGAGTGATTTTGACTATCTTTGGTTTTGGACAGCGCGACAACAGCAGTTGGTTCAACTACTGGTGATTTACAGCATGTATATATATATATATATAATATATAATATATATATAATATATATATATGTATGTATGTATGTAGATAATATAAATAAATATATAGATAAATAAATAAATAAACACATACATACACACATACATAAAGAAATAAATAAATAAATAGATAGATAGATATATATATATAGCTAGCTGTGAAATGGCTGTGATCTCCTGTTCTTCTCATGTCGGTGTACAGCACACAGGCACAAACTGCACAAGTCTTCACAGGTTGCATTCTAACGATATCCCGACAAGCAGATCGTTCTTTATCTCTGTGCAGCAGGACTTCGATTGGACATCTTTGGCAGGAAGAAGTGAGAGACAGTCCAAGACGACTGTGGCATTGATTATAGGCTTGAAATGGCTTCAACGGTTTCATGTCCATCATTTTCCACCAATTCTCCAGGTTTTTTCCACATCTTTCCGTGCCTCGGAGGCTACCTCGGCCACAAATTCGTGGGGCTGCAGCAGCCGTGTCAGCAAGGCCTAGGCCGCACGGACTTTGTTCGAGCAGTTGAGACGGAGCTGGAGCTTGCGCTCTTCAAGGCGCGAGAGTCTCGAGCTTCGAAAGTTGGATCTGAAAGTTGGATTTATAGTGATTTAATGGGATTTTATGGTGATTTTATGGTGATTTAATGATATGGGTATGGATCAATACCTATGAAAATACCATTTGTTAGGGGGATGAACATCCATTTTAACCCAGCTAAATTTTGATGTGAACAGAAGGGGTACTATTGGTTTTGACACACTGCCATGTGCCAAATTGCCAAACTCTTCCAGTTCTAAGACTTCCAGCACCAAAGAGACACACTGGCCATATCTGGCCATGCTGTGAAGGTTTGCTTGAAAGGAATTCACCATTTGATTTTGATGTCTTTGATGACTCCCGTCCTGAATTTCTGTGGGTGCTGCTTGAATTTGACCAGGGGAGTTCCCGCTTGCACTTGCGGGCACAAGCCTCTGGCTAGGCAGGTGCGATGATCCCTGAGAACTTTGGCAACCTTTGCAGGCTGGGAAGCTGCTGTGTGCCGTGTGGGATTGGGATGTCGATTTCGATTCCGGGAACTCAAAATGCAGGCTACGATGGAGTCGAGTGGGTCGCACGGATGCTGGAGTACTGCTCGACCTGTTTGACCCATCTTGGTGGCATCCCTCAACTCGAACGCTGGCGCAGAGCCTGCAGATTCGAGAACATGAGCGCAACCGTTTCACTGCGGTCAAGATTCAGAAGTTTTCTGAGTTGAGGGAGATCTTCATGATGCATGCTGCGCACCACAGCTGTTGTCCCTACTAGCTACTTAGTTGTAATTGACTGGCCAGGTGAGCGCTTCTTGCACCCCTGCCATGTTTTGTCATGTCTTGCCAATTTGTGCCAATTTGGGGGTTTGCAGTGCTCTGCTTTTGGTCCCATGTGGTGGCCGGCCAGTGAGCGCCAGGCAACGTTGTTTCCGGCCGCCTCATTGTTGGAAAGGACAGTTGGACAATTTGCTGAAATGATTTGAAGTTCGTGGAACGAATGCAACGCATCCTGTGTCCACAGTTATTGGAGTTCTATCTGGTTTGTGTGGTCTTGGTGCATTTTCCAGCTCTAAGTGTCGTTGAATGTGCTGAGTCTATCAGTCTATCTGAGTCTTAGGAAGCTTGAAGCCCTATCCCTTCCGAATTCCCAAAATTTCCCAAAGGTTTTGGTCATTTTTGGTCGCCCAAGGGGATTCCAAGAGCATCGCCATTCTGACCTCCACCGAGTCCCCGCCGGTCCCGCCGAACGCCATGGGTCAAGAGCGCAGCCGACCATCCAACGAGACGCGCATCGTTGCGCAGAGCGTGGCTCAGGCGCAGATGACGATGACATGCTCGTTGCGCAGAGAAACATAGAGAAACCTTCATTGAAAGATCTTTCATGATCTTTCAATGTTGACTAATGTTGAAGGTTTGAGCTGTTTCAGTTTGTGCTTTGCCATGTTCACTTTCTTGATCTTTCTTGTAGTCGTTTAATGCCATGCCACTCTCCGGAGGAAGCCACAACGCGAAAGTTTGAAGGCTTGGCAATCAAATCTGCTGTGACAGAATCTTAATCAGAGAGCCTTGCTTCAAGACCAGATTGAGGGCAAGGACAGTTGCTGGTAGGAATTGACAATAGTATAATGATGTATAATGATGTATACTATGTATACTGTAGTTGGGACATGTTGACGCCGCAATGCCTGATGACAGGTCATGCCTGCTGGCTGGTTAGAAAGACCGATATGCCTGGAATGGTTTCTGAATGGGCGAGAAGCCCAAGAAGCTCAAGTCAAAGTGCTGCTGCTCTCCAGTCCTTTGCAGAGGAACCTCTCCCGAAGGAACTGACCCTGTGGGGTTTGACTGAAGCGTCCTTGGTGGAAGGAGGCCGGGGCTCTTACATGACAGCGCCAGCCCCTGCACAACTTCTGGTGTTGCTGTTGCCTGGTGAAGTTAATACAATCAAACGCATTGCCCGGAGCCATGACATCGACCCGTTGCTTGCATGTGATCTCCTCTGTGATTGGATGGTCTCCATGATCCCAAAACGATGCAGAATCCATGCTCTGGAAGATGTCGCCGCACTTGGACTTGACATTGATAGACTCAATCGGGTGGCTCTTAACTAGCAGATGCTAGCAGAACATCCGCTGATTTGGATCTGACAATGCTTCTTGGAATCGTTGGAAGGGCAAGTCGAATGTCGAAAAGACATCTGCCAACGTTAACGCTGGTGATTTTTGCTCTGAGAGACAATTTCCTCTCCGCGCAGGAAAACGTAAAAATCAAGATGCATCAAGAGATTTCGGAATCACAGCCAGAGTGAACACATTTGAACACATTGGGGCCCAGGTGTTTCACCCTAGGTGTTTCGCATCATTTCACAGTTGTTTCGTCAGCTCGACTTGAATCGAAGGACCCTGAGTCCCTGGAAGAGTTGGTGCAGCGGATCCGATCGCCGAAATCCAAAGAGACGAAACGAAAAAAACGAATCCATACCTTGATGCCTTGGATGCCTTGATGTTCCATTTTCTCAATATGTCACTAATATGTCACAACATATGTCACATATGTCCCTTTCAAACTGTCTGTCTTTGTTAAGACTGTTAAGATGTCACTCTTTCGATGCATTCTACAGTGCTGATGACAAAGAAGTAGCCCATCTTCTCGCTTTTTGTGAAGCTGTTCAGGTTCCTACCTGCAGATGTCCGAACCTCACTGGCGACACCGTCATTCCCAGTGGCACTGTATGGAACTGTGATGAACCGATCGCACCCAGTTGGCAATTCATGGCGCGGCGTTTGTCTCTAAGCGCTTCAGCGCTCGTCGAGTCACCTGGTGGCATTTTGTCAGTGAAATCGAACATCAGTGGACCTGAGATGACCTCAGATGACCTGTGAGATGTTTGAATGTTTGTTGCTTGCTTCAGATTGCACATGCTGCTTATAGCTGCTTATTGGCTGATATTGGCTGGTCGATGTTGTTTACGTTTCTTAGAAATGAAATGATTCTGTATGTTTTTCTTGATTCTTGACGTCACCTTTCTGATCTTGACCTTTAGTTGTTTCGTGAGGAAGGGTGTCGCAGGGCCTACGAATTCTTGGTGCCCAGCTTTTGCGTCGCTTGGACTCAAGACAGCTCACAGATTCCAAAGGTCGTGACACGTCGTGACACGTCGTTGACGTCGTGAAGCATCTGAGGTAGCACCCACCCGGGCCAAGACTCGGACGTGGTTGGCTGCACGGAGGCTTTGGTTTTGTTCTTTTTTCGCCAATTTGTGCAGACTTGGGAATGGTCGTGAGATGTCGTGAGTTAGGTGCTCAGTGAAACATCAATTACCATCAATTACCATCAATTAGCATCAATTAGCATCAATTAGCACTTGTTTCTCTCCTGAAGTAGATTTGGTAGACGAGCATTTCAATGCTCGGAAGGCCAGATGTGATGCCTACAGACTTTACCGTAGAGGACATCAAAAAAGGGGTCAGATTTCACCACTCGATGTGAGCTCAGCGAGTTCTCGCTTAAGTCCTTCAGGACTTGAAGCTTCTGGAAGAAGAGTTGAAACTTCGAGAGGCTGATTCAAATCCACTGCGGATGTATGAAACATATGAAGCGGAAGTCTGACATGTCTGAAGTCTGATTTAAGACTCGCCACATGACTCCTTTGCTTGGAGTGTTCTGAACATTGATGTTGGTTTTCGAAAACTGAGAATGGGAAATGCACATTGAATCACATTGACCATGTGCCTTCCACCTTTGTTAAGTATTGTTAAGTGACATAGAGATGATATGCTGGTCATATGGTGGTCATAGAGCTACTGAAATTCAATGGATTGGTTTAAGGGAAATTTTCAGGAAAGCCCCATATTTAATGGGAAAATCTATGGTTTCCTGTAGATTTTCCCTTAAACCAATCCATTGAGAAATGCCCATGACCATGATTTCCATGACTTCCATCACTGGCCGACAACTCCGAGGTACGGCTCTCGGCGGAGCAGTTGAAACGCTTTCGAAGGGCGTTGGCCGCCTTCGAAGGGACGTCAGCTTTGGCATGGTTACGGTGCTGACACACCGAACTCAGATAGTGTAAATCAATGTAAACCAAATAATAGTAAAATATAATCTAATATAGTACAGTATTACAGTCTTACATTTTACTATAGTAAACTTCACAAATGTGCAGCCAAATATATGTGATGAGTTTTCAGAAAACTCGGTGCACGGCCTCCATGATCTCCATGATCTCCCAGGCATTTTTTCGGAAACTTTGCGAATAAGAAGCTGGACCCACGGGGACCTCAGGGATACCGACATGTGCGGAGGTGCCATGGTGGCCATGGTGGCCATGGTGCCATGGTGCCACCAGGTCCATGCTGCGCCATACGGCCTGCCTGCGTTTGGCCGCCACGGCAGGTTCCACTGCGGTGATCCATGGGTCGACGAAGATGGACGTGAGTGGCTGACCTTGGAGATTTGCCATGTGCTCAGCATTCAGCAGCATTCAGCAGCATTCAGCAGCATTCAGCAGCATTCAGCAGCGTTCAGCTTTTTTTGAACATCGAAATATCATGAAACACACACTCCACAGATCTGTTCATAGAATCAGAATGCTAAGGCGCTGATAGCTTTCTAACCCATCAGATTCGGAAGATGGTTGCGACTGCGGCCTTGGTACCTTTGGCATAGCTTTGGCATAGCTTTGTCACTGCCACGCATAGCGATCCCATGGCACGAGCCTGGCACGAGCCCAGGTGGCGCAGGGGGCCTTGTCTATGGAATTCATCGATGCTGCGATGCACAGGCCGTGGATGATGTGGAGATCCCTGGATGGGAAAAGTTGGAAGATGTTGGAACATCCCAAATCCCAGTCCCGTGCCATTTTGGAGTACCCTCTGGGAATGACTAACAGTTTGCGAACTTGAAAATGGCCCATAGAAATAGTGGATTTTCCCATTGAACATGGTGATTTTCCACAGCTATGTTAGTTTACCAGAGGGTAATCCCCATTTTCTATGGTCAATTTATGGTGATGTTGAAGACCACTGTACTAAATTTAGAAGCACTTTTATGTCAGATGTGCACGAAACACTGTAAAGCGAAAAAAAAGGGCCCCCTCCAAAAGCGACAACCAGGATAATCCAGGAAAATAGTAATTACTGAATATTACTGGGATGTAAAGGATTTTGACGGGAGCTCATATCCTTTTGCGATGAATCCACTTTGGAACGGCAGGCGCTTAGATGTCAAGACGCCCAGCTCTTAGCAAAACTGGGCAGACATGTCAAACATGTCAACAACTGGGCAGTCGAAAGAGGCACATGTTTTGTTTTCTCTGGACACTGCAGGCAGCGCTTTCCTCCCAATGGGCTCATTTTTGTGAGGCAATGGCATGCAGCAACTGCATGTAACGACGCCACGACGCCACGCCGCCGCCCTAGGCCATCCTTCAAAGCCAAAACGATCACCGGAAAGCCATCCACAGTGGAGGCGGCACTGGAGTCTGAGGAGGTGCTTACAAGAACAGCAGAGATGCAGGACTGAGCTGTGCTGAGCTGTGCTGAGATGTGCTATCGATCAAAAAACACATGTGCTTTTTGATGCTTTTGCGTGTCCAGGAGTCACTGAAGAAGGCGATCATCAAGGCCGAGACACGTAGACTTTTGTTTGATATGGTTTTTATCTGCTGTTTAGATCTGTTTAGTGTTTGATGCCCGTGACTGTTTTTCTGGCGACAGGAAGCAGAGGAGGGACTTAGCGCAGTTTCTCGGCGGCACTGTGAATTGCTGGGTATTGGGAAACCTTTGCAAGAAGACAGGTTGAATTTATTGATGACGAAAAGACTCACTTCTTTGTAGCGTCGCTTTGAAACAACAAAGGTGTACTGGCTTGCTTGTGTTACCCACTACGCCGGCACCCCAGCACAAGTGAGAAGAAACGAAGGAAACGAAGAAACTGAAACCATGAGTCCATTCTGACTTTCAGCATCTTTCAGCATCTTTCAGCATCTTTCAGCCACGTCGTGCGAGGAGCCTGAAGACATGGAAAGTGAGGCAGGAGGGCAATCCTCAGACTGGCGTCGGTGTGCGTATCGGCATCCGATCCTGTCGCCAGTCTTCTCTGCATTTTGCAGGTACTGGCGGAGTACCGAAAGTTTATGCCCAGAAATGAGCAGTACATCAAGGCTAGACAAGCTGCAAGCACTCAGGCGCGGAGACATCATACGATTTCACAAGCAGGTCATGACCTATGTCGCTGCAGGTTACTTGCATCATTGCCAGCCAGGGTGCGCAACTATGGCACCTTGGAAAAAAATGGATTCAGCTCTTCCAAATCCCTGGATTTGTTGAGAGTTTGAGGCTTGGGCGAAACCCGCGGCCCAGATGAGAAAAACGATGAAACATGTGGGAAAAATGTGGGAAAAAGATGGAAAAAGCGGATGTGCTGAGCGATTTTGCAGAGCATCGAACTGCAGCGACTTTTTTTCACAATCTCAGTGCCTCGCCGTCGAAGGTCCCCAGCCCAGGGAGCCAGATGGACCTCCACCGGGCTGGGACAAGGCCAGAATGGGCCAGAAAATGATCAACTTAGATCAACTTAGATCAAATTCCAAGTGTTTTCCCTTCACGTCAGTTCAAAACATTTCAAAACCTCGTGGTTAGTGGATGTTAGTGGTAGTTAATTCATTATTGATCATCTGGAGGCCTGAACGATGGTAGTTTCTATCCCTGTTTGGAGTTCTTCAATGACGAGGCGACTGCAGAGAGTTCATCGAGGACACGACAAACTTCGATTTTGAAACTGCTGAGTCTGGAGAAGTCTTGTTTTGCAGGATGAGATGTAAAGAATGCAAACGAGGGAGTTCCCCTTTTGCACATGTTGCGATGATTTGCGATGTAACAATTGTACTACAGTATTCGTCCATTCCACCTCCCATGGTGAAAGATCTAGGACGACAACGCCAGCCGACGGTGAGACAGGTGCAGGGCATTGTAGGGTGCACACGCCATAGATCTGTGTAGAACATCTGAACTTCCTGCCATCGCCTGCTGACATTCAGGCTCGCTACAAAACAGAACGAACAGAACGTGCAACCATGTTGGGTCGTCAAAAGAACACAGTTACACAGTTTTCAGGATTGATGCAGCATAGCAGCATAGCGTACAGGTCAGAATGGACTCTGTCCAATCGAGTTGGTCTGAATCAAGACTTAATAGACTTCATTTTCTCTTTACTTTCCTTGCCATGTCTGTTGCCGAAAATGGTCTCAGCACAGCGAGAGACGAACTCGGCGAACTCCTTCTTGGTGTCCTCCACTCGGAACGCAACGTAGTCCTTCGATGCGGTGACAGATCTATGACCTTCGCTGAGATGCAACGGCAGGTTCTGCGTTTAGTGTCTGCCCTGTGCGGTGAAATGGGTGAAATGGGTGAAGTGGAAATGTCTGTGGCGATTTGTGTGCATCCCGGCTTTGGACTTGTGGTGTCCCTTGTGGCAGTGCTGTGGCACGGCCTGGCCTTTGTCCCTCTCGATCCCACCTATCCTCCGAGTCGCTTGCAGTTTATTTTGGAAGATTCTGAGGCAGAAATTCTCATTTCACAGCTGGAGATCCTCGAGTCCTTGTCGATGTCGCAAAATGTGACAAGAATGGCCTCTTTGCTGATCGATTCCTCAGGAGCCCTGGAGGAAAAACCGGAAAAAGTGGATGCAAATTGGGATGCAATGAGTGCAGCGGCAACATCCGCATGTAAAGCATATATCATTTACACCAGCGGCAGCACAGGAGTTCCCAAAGGCGTCATGGTTTCTCGGCAGAACTTTGCCAATGTCCTACTCTCATTCAAGCAATTGCTCGAAGAAAGGCGCAGTGAGGAGAGCTTTCAGAGGCAAAGGATTCGTTGGATAGCTCATACTACGATTTGTTTCGATATTGCACTTTTGGAATTGTTCTTGCCCTTAATTCTTGAGTTCAGTACTGTCACTTTGGAGATTCTGGACCGAAGTATCAGCCAGAGTGGTGATCGCTTCAAGCAACACTTGGATCACTTGGAGCATTTCGACGACAGCACTGTGGCGAGTGCGAGTCCTGTCACAACGGTTCTCCAGGCAACGCCCAGTAGCTTTCAGATTCTCCGATCTGCTGGATGGAGGCCACACGAGAACCATCTGTTGCTCTGCGGTGGGGAGCCGTTCCCCATATGGTTGACTCAGTTGACTCAGTCAGAGATACCACATGGTTTATACAACGTCTATGGTCCCACTGAGACTACCATTTGGTCTCTTGTGCACCAGGTCGAGAAGCGTCTGGGTGCTCCCGCTCTCGGAGTTCCTCTCGGAGTTCCTCTCGGGGCTCTCGGAGTTCCAATTGGCAAAGCGATCCGAAACACCACGGTGCAACTGGATACTTCAGTGACCGGGGGAATGGACGAGAGATATGAACATGGCCCACATGGCCCATATGGCATTAGAGGAGAGCTTGTGATTGGAGGTTTGGGGGTGAGCCTTGGATATTGGAAGCAGCCTGAGCTCACAAAATCTCGATTTTTTGCAACAGATGGGCCAGATGGGGTGCGTTATTTTCGGACAGGCGATCTTATTCTAGAAATCCAAGATGGTTTTCCAGACTTCGAAAAAGCGAAAGCAACTGGTCAGCTTGGAAAACTCTTCTGCTTGGGTCGATTGGATCACCAAGTGAAGCTGAACGGCTTCCGAATCGAGCTCGGAGAGATTGAGACTTTGCTTCAGAGTTTGGAGGAAATTCAAGAAGCTGCGGTTCAAGTGAGATCCAACAGGTCCAACACTTTGACAAAGGTTCTGGTGGCGTATGTTGTTTGGAATCAGCAGGTCCAGATCCAAACCCATGGGACCCATGAGACCCATGAAACGATGGTGATGCTGGCGCGGCGGAAGCTGCTGCAGCACTTGCCTGACTATATGCTGCCACAGCATTTTGTGAAGCTTCAACGCCTTCCAACCACCTTGAATGGCCGGCTGGTCGTGTTTTGGAGATGGTTGTTTTCTAGGAATTTCCATTGGTATCCATCAAGTTGTTCAGAGTGGCAAGGAGTTTAAGATAATTTAAGATAGTTTAAGGTTGCGAAAGATCATGAAAGATCTTTTAAAGTGTCTTCAATTTAAAGGTGCAACATGGTGCAACTTTATCCAACTGAACCAAAAAAATACCTCCACTGCGAGGCAAAGTCGATCGGAAGCAGCTTCCGGATCCCTGGGAATCGATGGATGAAGTGAGTGCAGATGGATGCGCCGGCGACAATGCCGACAAGGCCCGCAGTGGTGGTCTTGCTGGTAAATCTTTGGTGGGTGATTTTTAGTGGTGATAGCTGGCTTTTTGAATAAGTCATGAGAATTTTTTGGTGACTACTATTATTCTGAATATTCTGGTTAAAAGTTCATGATGTTCATGGGAATCATCCCACAGTTCTTTGGAGTTTTGAGTTCCTTCATTTTGGATGACCCGGTTCATCCATTGTTCATCCAAATTGCCGAGCCAACACGTCCAGGAGATGCCACGGGACTCGTTGCGACAGATGGTGCTGCAGGTCATTCAGGATGTGATTGCTGGGGCCAACACTGAAACCAACTGGTCCTACACAGACCGCCACTTGGAAGGTGCCTTCCAGACAGATCAGACAGGAGAAATGATGAGAAATGTCCTGTCAGTCCTGTCATGGAATGTTCAATGTTGTCATGGCTTTGGGTAAAGCTTTGGGTTTTTAGCATGGTAAAACATGAGAAAACATGAGACATCACGGTATGACATCACGGTATGACATCACCTTTTCAAAAAGTGAAGCGACGTCGCGGAAAGGTGAGCATTGGCGGCATCTAGGTCTGAACTCGACAATGGCTGTCTCCTTCAGTGCTCGTTTGCAAGAAAGGTTGAAGAAATGCTGCAGAGATGCTCCTGCTATTGGTACTTCGATCATGTTTGAATGTCGGACAGTTTCTGAGCTGGTGTCCTATTTACAGCTCACCAGGTCTGCCTATAGCCATAGCCTTTCAGAAAAGCCTAAGATGCCAGAACGGTCCTTGGAGGCGACCTATGTGCGCCACGTGGTGTCTTTGGGTACCCTATGCATGACCGCACAGGCTATGGGGCCGGCAGAGGAGGGCGAAGGAGAAAGCCAATGTTATATGTAGATATATAATGATATATATATATTATATATTTATAGATATAATACATGTATGTATATATATATATATTATATATATATATATATATGATATCATACGAATACATCTTGGATCATTTTGGGCGAGCATACACGGCAACATTTCCGAAGCATTCCTCAATCCCCCACTCTTCCCCCAACTTCCCCAACATCACACATACATGATGTTGGGTTCACCATGAGAAGCCGGCAGGGTTGAGGACACATCAACTATCATCAAAACTATCATCAAAACTATCATCAAAACTATTATCAAATATAATTAGCTATCATTAAGTACCATCAAGTATCATCAAGTATCATCAACATTAATTTCATTAACATTAATTTCATTACCATCAAGTATTACCATCATTAAGTACCATCAAGTATCCTCAACATTAATTTCATAAACATTTCATTAACATTGACTCTCAAAGCAACGCCTTTTCAGCTCCCAGGCTCCCCCCGGGCAAGGCCATGGAGCACTGGGGACTTCGTCGATGGCCTTGCCCTTTCGACTGGATCTTCTCAGCTCCGGAGATGGTGACGCATTGCTTCAGCGAGAGATTCTCGAGCTTCTTGGACCAAAAGAAGTACCTTCCCAAGCCTTCGAACAAGGCGTGCGCCTCAAGTTCTACAGTGCCGCTAGTGCTAATGACCTAGGCGTCACAGATCATACAGATCGTTAGAGGACACGACTAGTAATACTAGTACTAGTGCAGGTCGATACCATCTGTCCATCTGCTGTAATCTACTGGAATGTCCCAGCGCCATACAATGACCATTTGGATCGCATTCCTTGCTTGTCAAAACCTGTAAGATCTGCTGGCGCTGTTTTGCAGGCTGGCCATGAAATCTATTCGGAGATGTTGCAGCGGGAAGTGATTTTCAACCATCACAATCCCATGCTGGCGAAGGACTATGATTTCTTTGTATCAAGTGTGAAATCGCTTCAAGCACTCATGTCAAGTGCTCCCAACTGCGACGCCATGAGCACTACTCAATCTTCGAAGTCTTCGAAGTCTTCGGTTCTGTTTCTTCTCTTCAATTTGGAGGGTAGAGTCCAGCTGAAAGATGTCGCCATCCAGGAACTCTTCCAGGAATTGAACACGCAATGGCAATGTGAAGCGTGGAGTTTTCAACTTTTGGTCGTCAAAGTGCACACCAAAGCAGCAGAAAGGCCTCAGCATCGCTTCCTCGCGGACCAATGCCTGTCAAACGGGAAGCTCAAGAACCAGCTTTTGGTATATGAACTTCTTAGTCAAGGTTCACATGATGGATGGCGTTTCAGTGATGAGAAAGACATGCAAGCACTGAGTGAGATCGTCTTGAATGGCGGAGACTTTCGCTTGCTTTCTGTTTCTCCAGCTGAAGAACTTTCCAAGTGTAGCACATTCTCTTGCCCATTCTCCAACACTTGGCTCTCAACTCACTGCTGCCACAGCTGCGCCAAAAGTGCTGGATCGCGCCACGGTGACAAGTGTGACGGACTCGAGCACGAAACAAAAAACGCCAAGAACGGGAACATCAATGATGAGAATGGTCAGCGATGTGAGCGACGTCAGCGACCGAGTGAGGCATCGAAGAACACACATGAGCCGTCACACAGTGGCACTGTCTCGAGGGCCACACGTTTCCAAGAGTCCTTGGCAAAGGCAAGAGAAATGCAACGCACAGAAAAGTCTCTACAACTTCAAACCTCAGCAGTCAGAAAATTGCGACGTGTGCTCTTGAAACACGAGTTGAGGTCTTCCTGTTCTTCCTGCCAGGACGCGGTATCGATCCCCAAAGAATGGCAGTTCTTGGGCTTTCCGGTCTACAAAAGTGAGTTTTGTAGAATTTGGTCTCCGGCTTCTGATGACATCTTTGCCGCTTTTCAGACTCTGATGGAGGCTTGGGAAATTACCGCGCTGAAGTTTGACTCTTTGATCTTCGTACCCTTGATCTTCGTACCGGAGACAATGTATATCAATGAAAAAAATGGGCGTATAAGGTCAAAGTGTTGAACCAGAACCAGAACCAGAACTGCATAATTTATCACATGCACAAGTCTCCTCAATGCCTACAAGTAATTCCAAAGAAAATAGGAATGATAGTATGTTATAGTTATAGATGTTATAGTCTATACGTATATCTATAAGTTATAGTCTATAGTTATAGTTCTTGTAATGATTTGCTATGATTTGCTAAAAACATTTCGACAAAAATCTCGAGAAAACACGACATTTCTGAGGAGTGGGACGACCGCAGCTTTGTGGCCTTTCTGCTTGTGGAAGCATCTGCTGTCCAGGCAGTCCACGAGGCAGTCGACCTGCCAGGCAGCCTGTTTTGCTTCAAGGCAAACACGGAGTCATGGCTTAAATAAATTCGTTGGCAGGTAGGATTTCATCAGATTTATGGAAACCATTTTTTCAACCATTGTAAACCATTGTAAACCCCCAGGATTAACCAGCCTGAATTGCTCTCGCGGCAAGGATTTGTTTGTGGCTGAGTCAGCGCAGCTCTCCGAAAAGCTGCCACGAACTGCAGAGGAGTTCCTTCTCTTTGGCAACACCAACCCGGAGCAAACGACTCAGACGACCTCGCCACGTGACGTGGTTTAGACCCACTGGACATTGAGCGCATTGAGCCAAGACACGAGGAGTTCGTGCCTGCGACCACGAAGTCTTGCATTGATCCTCGCTCTACCACTGGCCGTTCTTGCCGGCTTCTCGATGTGCAACATCATTCCTGAGTTACTCTGTTTGCATAAATAACTGTTTGACTTTTCTTCTGATATTTTCTGATATGTTGATATATTTTGATCCATTTTTGGTTTGAAACCAGGGGTGCCGCTTCACATCTCATGTACTTCCCAACTCAGTCGGAGAGCGTGACGTATGGCCAGTGTCCAGAATGAGAGTATGGTGTGCAGGTGAACTGCACCAGTTCTGCACGGATTTTTGCCTTTCAGCACTTGTGATCGCAGATCTTACTTTGTGCTGAGCCGTGGCCACTATTTCGGTCCGCTTGGCTTTTGACCCGAGAGCGACGACTTTCAGTGTATTTTGTATCGACAGCTGCTTTCTGCCATGCATTTGCTCCATGCATCTTTGGATCTACCAGCATTTGTGCAAGACCATGCCACCAACGTTGCTGTCTCTAGCATTCCCGCACAGCCTTGTTAATGATTTTCAAGGGAGGAGGGAGCCGCTAATATTTGCACAGGTTGCCCCCTGTGTTCTTTAAACGGAATGTTGCCCTTCTTTAAACGGAATGTTGTTCTTTAATTGTTTGGCTTTCTTGAAGTGAATGACATGGTTTCTACAGACAGTCCTCCTACCTAGGCAGCTTCTACTTGCAAGCTTGATGCACTTGTCACGTAAGCAACCCTGACCTCTGATGAAGAATACGCTGTTGGATCCTGCCTTGTGAAGCATTGGGGGGGGACGGTTGCGAAACGGCGCTTTCCTAGGCAAAAATGTAGGTGCAGCTAGCTGGGTTTTCGTCCACATTTGAAAACTTGGCGCACGTGCTCAAGAGTGGTGAAGCTGGCTTGGAAGCCCACTGCGTCGTCTCACAAGCTCCTGATGTTTTTAGGAAGTTCTTAAAAAAAACATGTCTGCAGCCGTTTTCACATCGTCCGTAAACTCTGAACTTCAATGTGGCTTCGGCGATTTTCAACAGTTGAAGTTGCCTTTGTAGCTATTGGTTCAAGACTCTTCAAGACGGACGTGCTGTCCGTTTCCCCAGGTGCCCTGTGGTTTTGTGGTTTGCTTTGTTGAATCAGATTGAATCCATTCTATCACTTGATCCCGGGATGGAACCTCTTGAACCATGCTGAACCAGGCGAGATGTCAGTGAAATCGATCCGGGAGCACGAAGGGAAGGCCAGTGGATCATGTTCCGGGCGTTCCGGGCACCGGTTGTGCAGCCGAGTGCCCAAAAATACGGGGATCGTATGGGATCGTGACGGCAGGCGCTGCTGAAGCGTTGGCTTCCAGAGTCGCCCAGCCTGTGATTGGGATACCAGGATAAGATCTTCATTGTGATTTCACTATGATTTCACTGTGATTTCACTGTGATTATACAGTACCAATGTGAAATCTTGAACCAATTTGATGCATAATCGGATTCAAAAAACATTGTGTGACGGTATTGTGGCAGGTACTCAAACAAAGTCTTTGGTTTGGACAATGCTGGCTGCATGGTCACACCTGGAGCACGCTTCTCAGAGTTTCATAGGTGTCCTAGCGGTCCTAGTTCTACTGTTTTGAGTTCTGTTCTAAGTTCTGCAGATTTTCTCTCGTTTTCTCTCGTTTTTTTTCTCTCGTTCTCTCTCTCTTTTTGGCTCCTGGTGCTCTCCCAGCGCGCGCTGGGTCAGTCTTGTCCGCCCAGTTCTTGGAGCCCACTGCGCACAGCAAGGTCCTTGACCCTACGAAGGGTGACGATTGGAATGTGATCCTTGAGAAGATCCTTGGTTCGAGACATTTCCTGCTTTTTTTTGCTGACACTGGAACATAGATGAACATGCTGGAACACAATTTGAACATTTTGATGCATTTTGAGCCATCTTTTTTCATCTCATTTCGGTTTTGCCAGGAATCCATGGTTGAAGACCGAACGCCTAGTGGCCAAACCAGACCAGATGATTGGAGGTCGAGGAAAGGCTGGTCTCATTGCTGTCAACAAGAGCTTTGATGAGGTGAAGGCGGGGGAAGGTTCATTAAGGTCAGCATTTTCGCTGATGATGTATTCAATGTATTCAATGTATTCAATGTATTCCAAGTTTAGTTCACTTCTAGTTGCTAAACTTGTAGACTTGGAAGTGGATGAGTGGAGCAATGAAGCAGAGTATATCAAGACAATTCGTGTGGCGTGTGGAACTCTACTTCCACATACTTCCAGAACTTTACTGCCATATGGGCCATATTGCCATGTTTCTTTCCTCCAAATGATCCAAATGTCCATTTGGAGATCCTGTAAGACTGGCCCCGAGGCTTGGATTTCTGAGCGGATGTGCAAAGATACAACCGTCGCAGGGATCACTGGACAGTTAACTCATTTCCTCATCGAGCCCTTTGTGCCGCATCAGCAGTCTGAGGAGTTTTACGTGTGCATTCAATCCCACAGATACAAAGATGAGATCTTCTTCTATCACGAGGGCGGTGTCGATGTCGGAGATGTGGATTCAAAGGCTTCGAAGCTGGCCATTCCCACGGGCTGCGACATTTCGGAGGAAATGGTGCGACTGGAGCTGTTGAGTGAAGTCGACGCTTCCAAACAAAAGACCTTGGCCAGCTTCATCAAAGCGCTCTTTACCTTCTACAAGGAACTACATTTTGCGTATTTGGAGATCAATCCAATTGCCATGCTTCCGAACAACAAGGCAAGAACCGGAATTCATCATTTTTTGACCTTCCCGCTGCGTGCGGCGTGCAGATTGTGCCCCTGGATCTCGTTGCAAAGATTGACGAAACAGCTTCATTCTTGCCTGGACCCTAAGTCTGACCAAAGCTGCTTTGAAATTTGATTGGGTATGGGTCAATACCTATTAATACCATTTTTAGAGGGATGAACATCCATTTACCAGCTATTTTGATGACTATCTGACTATCTCTGGAGTCTTTGAATTTCTTTGAATGCTCTGCCAGCATTACCTGGTAAGGTGTGCCTCAAAATGGGGCGAGCTCGACTGGTGAGATTTGCATGTTATGCGCAGTCATAGCAGGGGAACTTCTCTCGATGGAATAGCCAGGCCTTCTCCCTTTGGACGTGCAGCATATCCAGAGGAGGTGTGGGGTGTGATGGGTGTTTTATTGGTGTGGCAGTGTTGCTGTGTTGCTTCAAGACAAACTTATGAAGCAACAAGGCTCTCATCCGAGATCTTGATGGGTTTCTTAGCAGAATTTAGCACAAGCCATCCATGCCCGGCCAAAGATGGATTGAGTTTAGCGATGTTTCGCGCTGCCGCGAGTGCCAAGGAAGACCGGAGCCTCCCTGAAGCTCACCGTGCTGAATGACAAAGGTCGAGTCGCAAACTTGGAGAGTTTTGAAACCTGAAAACGGAAGCACACCTTCAAACGAATTCAAACATGGAACGAAGAGTTCAAATATATCAAATATGTTCAAATTTTCACTAGCTAAGGTTTGGACAATGGTTGCAGGTGGAGGTGCTTCAGTGGTGTACTCCGACACTGTGGCGGTGCGCAGCTTGGCGGGTGAATTGATGCCTTGATCATCCTTGATCCTGTTCCGGTGCCTGTGCCACCAGGACTATGGTTGGGGGAGTGAGTTGGCCAACTATGGCGAATATTCAGGGGCTCCCAGCACCGAGGATGGGGCCATGGGCAGACAGATTCAGAAATGGTTCGGAATTTTGTCCGTAGTCTGTGCAGTTGCTCAGGAGACATTCACCTATGCCAAGACCATCCTGTCCCTGATGTGCCGATACAAACACCCAGAGGGCAAATTCCTGATCATCGGTGGAGGCTGCACTGCTTTAGATTTACCCTCTGGTAAACTAACATAACTATGGAAAATCACCATTTTTAATGGGAAAATCCACTATAAATTGCCATTTTCAATAGCTATGTTAAATTACCAGAGGGTAGATGATTTAGCTTTCGGAGATTGGCTCGTCTCCGGGTCGTCCCCGGGTCGTCCCCGGGTCGGTTCATTTGCCAGGCATCGCGAACTTCACAGATGTTGCCGCCACCTTCACGGGTCTCATCAAGGCCAAGCAGAGACTCTGTTTTTCTAATCTGTGACCTCAAACTTCAGGAAAGCATAGGAAAGCATCTTATACCCTCCGGTAAACTAACAGTTTGCTATTGAACATGGCCATAGAAATAGTGGATTTATCCATTAAAAATGGTGGATCTTTCCATCGTTTTTTGTTAACGTTTACCAGGCCGGGTAAGAATTTCTAACATCTGTGAGGCCTTGGACATGTTTGCCGATCAGATCAAGGAGAACAAGATTCAGATTTGGTGCCGGCGTGCTGGACCCAATTACTTGGAGGCACCGATTCAGATTGGACGTGCCAGACACCTGGATGCCCATTGGATCATTCCGGGGCGTTTCTTGTCGGTACGCAGGGCCTCAAGAAACTGAAGATTGCGAGCCAAAAACTTGGACTGGGCGTCAAGGCCGTATGGAATATCTTTGCATAGGGGAACCATAGGGGAACACGATGGAACACGTGTACGGTACGCATCGTACCATATTGCACCGTTGGGGAAACTTGGGTGTTCCAGGTCTACGGTCCTGAGACTCACATCACTGCGTGGAACTTATCGCCAAACACTAGGTCACTAGGCCTGCAGCATCCTGCAGCATCCTGCTATGTGAATTTGCGAATTTGAAGGCGGTTGTGCCAATGGCACTTGGTCTGAAGGAAGCTTTGCCGGAGTTGGAAGCTTGGTGTCAATTTTCTCCGGGATCCGAGGGTCCGAGCATACTTTTCGCAAGGCCTGATCTCAATGCTGGACCTGCACCTCCTCCAACACGGAAGCGAATCCAGGCCCTTTCAAGCTCAAACGGGCAAACTCAAGAGAGTGAAAAAAAACTGGATCAGAAAGATCCAAACAAAGCATGATAAAACATGTTGACACACTTGTGACTCCTTCTTTTTCCTCATAAAATGTCTGATATTTCATTGCGTTAAAGCCGTTAAAGATTTCAGCGGAGCTTCTCAGGTGAAGAGCAAGGCAGCTCCGAAGCGGACGCCTACGAATGGCAACAAACACACCATCGTGACGGCGACCCCTCAGTCCAGGCGGAGTTCAAAGTTGGAGTCAGATCTTCCCGGCCAGGTTTCTGCAATATAGTATAATATAGTTATTCTCCTTGGGATAGACAAGATTTGAATACATTTGATATACATTTGACAGATATTTGACAGATTGTGGAGCACTTATGCAGAATTTTGTAGTGACAGGGCGATCGTGTATGGCCTGCAGAATCGAGCTGTTCAGGCTCGATACGACGGATTTGCACGATACGACTGGAGTTTTGCCGAGTTTCAAACGTGCAGGGTATGTTGGACTTCGACCATATGTGCAAAAGGAAAACGCCTTCGGTTTGTGCCATGGTTCTCCCGGCCAGTTTGCCAGACTTGCCAGACTTGCCAGACTTGCCACCAGATGGCTGATATTCCTGGTTCATTCATGATCATTCTGAGGTATTTCCTTTCAGTGGCAACCACTACGTGAAATTCTACTGGGGTACAGAGGACGCTGCTGTATTTCGAGCTGGGGATCGGACCAGACTCACTAGATGAAGCTCAGGAGATATTGGTGCCAGTCTACACCACCACCAAGGAGGCATGCCAAAAGCATCCTGATGCCATTACGCACGGGGCCCCAGGGCTGGAGGGGCCCCAGGGCGGGCCCCAGGGCGGGCCCTGGAGTGGATTTTTGGGTTTTCTGGGATGCAGTGGATTTGTCGATACTCAGATGCTCTACGTTGCTCCACCACTATATGTTTTCATGTCATGGCAAACTGCAAAGGTCAGATTGTGTGGAGTGAAATTATGTGAAGTTTGTAGTGTCTTTGGAGTCTGATGGCCAGATTGTTGTGCTCAAGGTTCATCAACTTTGCCTCTTTCCGATCGGTGTATGAGACCACCATGGATGCTTGGATTACATTGATTACATGTTGTGCAGTGTGACTCCCTGCATGTAGTGTGAACCGAGGAAGCGATGCAGTACCCACAGATCAAAACAGCGCGGGTCTTAGAATTTTGGCGGACAGGTGCAGCCTGTTTCATTCTTTGCTCTTATGCCATGTGTGCAGCATGTACTATTTATATTCATTTAGTATGTATCACTGTATCATCACATATCATCATGTATCATCAGCTATCAGATAATGATAGATAATGTATCATCGTCTATCATCATGTATCACCATATGTATCATCACGTATTCACACAGGAGTTCTTTGGAGTGATGTCTGGAACCAGGTTGCCATCATCGCAGAGGGCGTGCCGGAGCAGCAGACGCGCCAACTCATCAAGGCAGCAATTTGTGCCCTGGATCCAGGGCACCAAGTGGCACCAAGGGCACCAAAACTTCGTTGCCACAGCTGCGCTCTCTTCGGTTTTCCCCAGTCTATTGAAATCAGTCTGAGTAGGGAAGATGCGTTTTGCTTTCACATTGAGTGGCTTAAAATACAAGTAGATACAAGTACTAAGGGTGTTGAGATTGGGAAACCTCGGAAAGCAGAAGAACTGATTGATTCATATTGATTCAACACAATTGCAGGAAGCCGAGATTAAGGAAGTGGGAATGATTGGCCCTGCCACAGTTGGGGGCATCAAGCCGGAACCTGAGAACATGACCCCTATGGCCCCTATGGCCCCTATGGCTATGGCCCGCATGGCCTATGTTTCGATCAAGGCCCGGATGCATTCGCATTGGGAACACAGGTGCCCGATGGGTTCGGATAAGGAGTCAGAAAGCTTGGCGCCTCCTGTTTCCCCAAGTCCTATGGAAAAGAAATGAAAAGAACCAAACGAATGGATTGGTTTAAGGGAAAATATACAGGAAAGCCCCATATTTAATGGGAAAATCTATGGTTTCCTGTAGATTTTCCCTTAAACCAATCCATTGAACCAAACGAATGGACTAGTTAACAATTATACAACTCTACAACAACGGTCAGACCGTGCATTAACCTATCAATCGGAAACGTGTTGAAAAGATAGTCATTCCACGACTGTCTTTGAAGCTCTCTGGACAGGTGGCATGCTCGACAATGTGGTCATGTCTCGACTTTATCGTCCTGGATCAGTTGCCCAGCTGAAGCACGTTGGCTCGTTCTGACACCATCAGTTTCAACTTAAAGATCTTTAAGCATATGTAAAGTGTAAACCAATCTGCAAACCGTCGTGTGTCATAGTGCCCTGTTCGTAGTTTGTGCGAGCTTCATGTAGCTTCATATAGCTTCCATTGTGGTCGCCTTTAGGTCGCATATGTCTCCAAATCTGGCGGGATGTCCAACGAGTTGGCTCACCTGCCTGGCTTGCCACGGCTGCCACGTGCTTCATATGTCTTGTTTTGAAGTTTTTGAAGCTGAGTGCACCAAAGTGCACCAAATTTTGCAAAATTTTGCCCATGGCCAGAATAACATCATTGCCCGCAACTCCAACGGGGTCTATGAGGGCGTCGCAATCGGAGGTGACAGGCATGGCCGGCCTGGGAGTTTTCAAGTTTGAGAAAAGAAAAGACGGCTGCAATGCCAATTCTGCAGTCAATCTGAAGAATTCCGAAGCTGAATGGAATCTAGGTATCCCGGCAGCCGCTTCATTGACCACCTTCTGCGTTACCAGGTGTGGAACTGAGGAGCAATATAAGCCAATCTTGGCCCCCAAAAATCGCACATCCAAACGATCTGTACACGATCTGCTTTGAGTTGCGATCGTTTTGCATTCCGACAGTACGACTGCTGAATGTTCTATGACGATAATAATAATAATCATTATATATATATATATATATATGTATAATATATATATATATAATATACAATATGTATATATATATAATTATAATATAATCATGATGTTTGCACATTTTTTCCGACCAGAGGACGATTTTGGCGCCAAAATCCTGGTGCTGCTGGGAGAGGCCAACGTGTTGCACGTGTTGCACGTGTTGCACGTGACGCGTTGCACGCATTGGACGAAACCGCAGGTGGGAGGACAGGATGAGTATGAGGTCATCGCAGCCGTGAAGTCTGGCCGCATCACCAAACCAAGTGAAGCCTGACCTGTTTTGAGGTGTGCTGGCTGGTTACTATCGTGTCTGATAGTTGATGAATATGTTGGTTATGTCTTGAGATAACTTGAGATTATAGACACATCATCCTGACTGGGATTCCCACCCAACGTTTGTAACTGCACTTGGCGCCACGCCCGCTACTTGACACATGCAGGCATTCCTCCCAGCTCAAAGCTTTTTTTCGGCACTTTCGCTAACTTTTGCTCCCAAATATCATTGTAATCTGGAGCTGTCTATGGGGATGTCGGCCTGTGATTCTGGCTCACGGTTGTCTGTAAGCGTCTTGGGAATTCCAGTCACTAGTAGCATCTAATAGGTCCGGCTGACAACCGGCTGGGATATTGTGCCTTCGCGGCTGTGACGACTGCTGTTTCATTCGGACCACTTGAACCGCCAGTCGCCACGATTTAGGACTGGATCATTCATCATCATTCTACCATACTTCTGTTGGTGACCACCACAAGAAGTTGCGGTTGAATTAGTTGAATTTGTTCCAACTTTCTTGAGAGTTTCAATTTGTGGTTCTTCGAACCTACCTTATTTGAACTACATCGTTGCATGGGCCACATGGGGCTTGTTCCTTGATGGTCCAAAATGAATTCTCGCAGTGTGCTGAACCATGTCAGTCTTTGATCTTCAGTTGGATCGCAAAAAGTCAGCCCTGACCGCCCTGTGCCAGTCATTGCTTGGTGTGTCGGCTTGGAACCTAACTTGGCCACAGAGCTTCGGGCATTGTGAGTAATGGTTAAGATGTAATAAACAGGTGAAGGGATCCGCAATTCACTGTGCTTTCGAGGCACATGCGCATCTTGCTTTTCAACAGAGGCTGAGCATTGCTGTGTTTCGACAAGCGGAGACAAGCGGAGACAAGCCATGTTTCGCTCCGCGTGCAGGTTCAGTTTGGACATGCTGGCGCACAGGCCTGCAGATGCTGATGATGATGGCGAGTTGATGCCATCGGACTGCTGTCGCCAGGCCAGAGGCAAGACAGAAACGGCCATGGCGAAAAATGCAGCGATGAAGGCAGGGACGAGCAGCTCAGTAGCGACAGATGGGCTAGAACTGCTAGATCTGCTAGGAAGCTGGCATCATTGTGCCTGACTCCTTCGACAAGTTGCCTGAAGCATTGGACACCCTGCACTGAGCTGAGTTTTTTCCATCTCGGGGGCTTTGGTCAGGTATGGGAGTCTTTTCACTCTGCACCAACAACAACAACATTATTGGCAGGTACACCAAGATGGTCGAAGATGGTGAGATCGTGGAGGCCGGAATTTCCGATGACTCACCAATCTCCGATATCGCCGATATCGCCGATACCTGTTACATGCTGTTACCCTGCAGGAGCCGGAAGGTGAAACTCCACAGGCGCCGGGCCGGGTGCCAGCTGTGCAACTGTCCGCTGGACTGTGCCGTGCCAGGTGCCAGTGGACTACACCTGGGCCAAGAAGCTAGGAATGGTGAGGCGAAATGAAGGAACATGAAACATCATAAAACTGTTTCGAAAGGCAAAAATGAATGAAACTGGCCCCAGGGATGCCAAAGATATCCCAATTCCCAATGTCCACTGCCATGTGGCGAAAGGCACAGATTATTAAAGATTGCAATGTGTCAGGAAGCCAGCGAACTTCATTTCCTCCATCTCTGATGACCGAGGGGAGGACTGGATGGACGACGTCGCCAAACCTCTCGAAACCTGTCGCCTCCGTCCAGGAGCTCCAGTACTGTGGCATCAGCATTTCGGAGGTCTTCTCGCAAAGCCTGGGTGCTTCGGCCTGAAGTAGACACAACATGACACAACTGTAGACTCATATAGCTTGGTTAGACTTGTAGATCTTTTTAGGTTTTTTTAGGCACAAAGTAACTATACACAAGTCTAAGTAGACTCGACAAGCCGTAGACAAATCATGACCAATTTGATAGACCGATTATGACTAATTTACACATAGTTGCACTCAGTTAGACTGCAAAGGTCGATTAGTCTGGCGGATGGTCTGAGGTGTTGGAGGTGTTGTCTCCCTGCTGTGGTTCAGACGGTCAAGTTCCCAGTGCGTCCGGAACGATACCACAGCAGCCATCAACTCATCAACTTGTCTCGCCAGGCAATTGCCACCTGCTTGCTGCAAGTTCGTGGAACTTCGTTTGCAGTGAGCAATTTCTTCTTAACTTCATCAATCTTCATTATTATTGCTGTATTGTATATTATTGTATTAATGGTATTAAGCAATCTATATGATTCTATACGTATATACAATTATAATATAATATATATATATATATTATATATATTATATATATAATATATATTATATATATTATATATATTATATATATTATATATATTATATATATTATATATATTATATATATTATATATATTATATATATATAATATATATAATATATATAATATATATAATATATATAATATATATAATATATATAATATAATATATATAATATAGTATATATAATATATAATATATATTATATAATATATATATAAAATATATATATATAATATAATATATAATATATATATATAATATAGTATATATAATATACATAATATATAATATATAATTTATATAAAATATAATTTATATAATATATAATATAAAATATATATAATATATAGTATATATAATATACATAATATATAATATATAGTATATATAATATACATAATATATAATATATAATTTATATAAAATATAATTTATATAATATATAATATATAATATATATATAATATATAGTATATATAATATACATAATATATAATATATAATTTATATAAAATATAATTTATATAATATATAATATATAATATTCACTCCCATCACTTGACAGTGACATTTGTGAGTGGCTGCAGCTTTTTGGGGTCAATACATGAGCCTAGGGTTTCTAGTACCAGAGGTTCTCCGCGAGTTACGCTTCTGGGGACAATCGTCGGTGTGTCCCTGGGGTGCCATTGGACTGGGAGCTGTGATCCTCAGCTGTTGCTGTTTGGGGGTCGGATTCGTTTGCGCTGCTCTGGTGTTTTCGGCTCAGTGCCGCAGACTGGTGGCCTATCTGGCAAGGGGCTTAGCCTTGAGCCTCAGTCCAGGTCCTGTGGTAGGCCCTGACCTCCAGCTGCAACGCCGATTGTCCGAGTACCACCGATCCAGTTGATGAGCGGTGGGCCCGCTACTGATCCAGTTGAGTCATTAACTGTTCATTTGGGTCAGCTCGAGATCAGCTCCGAACGGGGCGTCTTGGGAACGGTTGGACCGGCCCTCTTTTTCCAGTGATTTTGTTGAAAGGATTTTGAGAGCTCAGACTGCCAGGGATTTCATTGCTTTTACGATTCCACAGATTGATCATTTGTTGCCTCGGCTCAGAGCCAGTGATCGGGATTGGTCCCCGAAAGCCCGTCTTGTCCGAGCCTTCCGTGCTGGATTGCTGGCACGTTTTCGCCTTGACGGCGAGTATCGGTGTGAGGACAGTCCGGGGATTCCGTGGAGAAACACTTATTACGTTGTGTTGAGGGGCCGAAACAACAGTGCTGGATTTTGGACCAACAACTACAATTTGTATCATTCCAGTGTTTTTGAGACTCGATCCGGCTCGACCAATTTCGAGCGCACCACTGTCTCCCACGCAATTCCCAGTCTGGCTGAGTTAGAAGCTTATATTCTGGGTGCTCAGGTGGCATGGCCGCCCGAGGTGCAGCAGTGAGACTCGATCAAAGGACTCTGCAAGATTTAGCTAACAAAAGTGCATCCGAGAAGTTTTTAAGTCCGGTGCATTTTCTGCTGGTTGAACCTAGTTCAGGAGTCAGTGCAACCTTAGCAGTATGCCACGTTGTCTACGTCAGACCGGGTGGGTTCATGCTAGCAATCCCGAATTCAATAGACCTTCAAGACGCTCTACGCGCTTTGGAGTCCACAGCCAACGCTCATGCAGCCTTTCATGCTGGCCAAGTCGAAGTACTGACCCAGCGTGGGAGGTCTCTGGGAGTGGGAGATATCATTTTGGTCGATTTGCCCTGGGAGAGTGCAGAGGATTTTGTCAAACCAGTCAAGATTGGGTCAGGTCAGTTCAGAGATGCGGAGCTCTTGCAGGTCACTGTCAATGGTTCTCCGGGTCGTCCCTCCAAAGAACAAACTCAGCAGTTAGCAGACGCTTGGATTGGAGGCGAAGACATGGACGAGGACACAGCCCAAGAGTATTTGACTGGCGAAGATTTGGGTCCAGACGAATCTTTTGGTGCCGCTGGCGGTCAAGGTACCGGTATCGCAGAAGGGTCAGATGGGGGTTCGGCAGAGAAACGTGCACTGTTGGCTCGCATAGCAGCTCTGGAAAGCCAGTTGCAAGATCGTTCAACAGTCCCTGCTATTTCTCCAGTTCCGAAGCCTCTGACTGCTGCAGGTGCCAGCAAGGCGCCTATGTTGTTTGGTGCTCAGCCTGCAGTTCTAGACGATCAGCAGTGGGGTCGGCTCCAGCGCTTGGCGGGGGCCCCACCTCCTCGAGCTGGCCAAGTCGAACAACGTCGCTTGGCGGTTGGTCCAGCCACCACCTACCGCGACAATGCCCTACTTGAACTGGAACGCGAAGCAGAAGAGGATCAGCAGCTGGACGCCCTAGCTCCTCCACGGGCAGCATCCAGTCAGGACCCGCTGCACCAGATCCTGGCCGCTCAGCTTCAGCAGAATCAACTTTTGCTTCAGCGGATGGCGCCCCGCCATTCAGACCCAGTGCTGGGGGCGCTCGCCGGCTCGGACAACGGGTCCGGCAGTGGAGGAAATGTCAAAGGATGCCTTGCGAGAGAGACATTTCAAAGGACCATTCAGGACCTTCCTCGAGTGGCCAACCATGCCAGACTGAACGCTCTGCGAGAGCTGGGGATCAGCCCAGAGAAGGAGGATGCCTCACTCATGAGAAAATATGTGGAGAGGCGCATTCCCCTAGCAGAGTTCAAGCTCCTAGCTTTGGTGGCAACTATGCTGGCAGAGAGCTGGGCAGTCGGTTACGAAACCGGCGACATGGTTCTCCTCGGCACCGTGGCCCGGATGCTTTTCTTTGTGGAGCAGGCGGCAATAGACTCTGGCAAGACTCAATTAGCATGGCTTTTGACGGGCTACAGCGAACCGTCCCTTCATATGATGGTGTCTTCGAAGAAGCGACCAGGTCTGGAACCATTCGCGCGTCTGTGCCCTCCGGCATGGATCAGCGCAAATTTGTCCTATCTGAAGGACTTGGACTTCATGGAAACCCGACTGCAATCGCTCGAGAAGGGCCCGAAGAATCCCAAGGCCAATGCAGCCGACGACAAAGAGAATCCTCAGCCAAAGAGACCAAGTCCCAAGCCGAAGGGCAAGGGAAAGGGAAAGTCCACTCCAGAAGCTCCTGCTGCCGATGCAGCTGCGGTGTGAGAGGCAAGGATCCACCTGGGTTCATTGAGGGTTTCTTCCAAGAAGATAATGCCCCCATTAGTCCTCCCGATAACCACATGGAGCCCCAATATCATCCTACATGTAGTCCCTTTAACCCCAATTCGGCTGGCTTGGATGGTAAACCTGATGTTCCAAACTGTTCCTTTAGTCCTAACGTTGCTAAAAGCCGTTTTGATCCCATTGAGCTTCTGCAAGTTTTGATTAGTGATTTTTGGTCTTGTCACACTGGCCTGACCTATTTTGCTAAGGCTAGCCTGACTAGCAACACCTGCACTGTGCATGGCACTCAACCCAGTGCCTTATGGCCGGTTCCCCCCTTCAGGTGGCGATGGACCGGAAATGGTAGACCCAATCCCAGGCGGCGCATCCGCCTTAAGCGCCTTCGATTGCTTGCTGAGTTCATGAACATCATGATTTGCACGTTAAACTGGGAAACCCTAGGACAGGCCAAACGGCCTCCTGTACATGCATGTATTGGTTCCCATATCACGCCACAGCAGCATTTGATCATAGAGCGCTTAGAATCTTTCCTTTTGCACACTTTTAACATGGCCCCCTTTGAGGGCGGTGAGCTAGGGCGTGCAGCAGGCAAATTTCAGGGTTTAATTAATTCTTTGAAGGAACTCCCCAATACCAGCTTGGAGTCGCAGGACCTCTTAGAATTGTTGACTGACATGCACAACAGTTTTGACCCATACAGCTCGCATTTTGCGAATGAGAAGACGCAGCCAACTCGCAGCCCAGCTCACCCGAGTGAGCCAGATATCGGTGAAAGCACTGTTACAGT